AGACAAAACAAGCCATTTTCCAAAGCCTCTACAGACCTAACCACTCAGTATTTTTGACTGATTCTTTGATAGGCTCATTCAGGTTGACCAGAGGTATGTTCTGGCTACCTCCCCAGTTAGCGCATATTTTTTTTTTCAGATGCCAAAAATGGCCTCCAGAATAAAAACCTTCTCAAGGCTCCAGCTTTCACTAAAATTAGTCCATACCAAGGGAAGTGTAACACAACTACATAATGTAAAAGAATACACAAATACATTTGAGGTACAATAGATTCTTAGAAAGAACCAGAAAAATGAACCAACCTTCATTCTTTTTGCACTCAACTGTATGCGCCCAGGCTGCACCTTATTTTTTTCCTACACACGTCTTACGATGGCGGTTCATTGAGGACTTTGTCCTGAAGCTACTCCTGCAGCCTCCTGAGCAATGGTGAGGTTTTCTCCAGAAGTGGGAATTGATATGATCTATTCAAAACCATCAGACTCTGTTGCTAAAAAGAAAAAAGAAAAAAAAGAAAGGAATGCAATAGAACTCTGACTCTTTAAATTGTGCCTGGAAGTAAAATTCTGTGAGCACAAATCACACATGAAATGTCCAGGAACCGCATTTTTCCTATGTCTGTTTGCAGCGGATAGCTGTCTTGATGATGCTACCGTCGGTCGAGGATGCTGTTCAGTCTCAGCCTCAGAGTTAATCCCCTGATTCATGGGCATCATCGACGGCTGCGCTCCTGCAAACCCAGTAGGGTTGAATATGTCACTCTCTTGCGTTACTGGAACAGGACATGATATCGCTAAGCTCAGTGGACGAGGGCGTCGTAGAGCAACTGTGTACCTAGTAGTGGGAGAGGATATGTAGGCCAACCACTTTGTTCTGGTGATGCCAACACAGGTTGAGGGCCTGCTTCCGGAGTGCCGACGTTGAACCAGGTGGAGTCAGCAGGGGACATCCATGCCTGTCCTCTTGAGCTCCTGGTATAACTAGTGTTGATAGTACTGCCCTCTGAGAATACTGTTATGGGCGATACTAAGGCCATGAGCAAGGCGTTGTGGAACGATCACGTACCTGATGGTGTCAAGTAGCATGTGCATAGTGCGAGGGGAAGCAGACATAACTCGCAAGAAGCTTCCAGTTGCATGATAGTGCTTGGGGCTTGATGAAGTTAGGGTCATTTATTTTATACCTGTGGCACTGAACTCCTTGTTGTTCAAAGCAGAATATGGCAACCCGTCATAGTTAAAGTGGTGCCCTGAACCCTAAAATTTGACTAACATATAGCCATCACTCACCCCAGTGCTAGTAGTGCGAGCTCCTGGTTGACGGTAGTGCCCTCTGGGAATACTGTGACGGGTGATAGTGATACCAAGAGCCAGCCTCCAGGCATTCCACAATGGTTGCGACACCAAAGAGGTGTCAGATCCACTGCTCGCGTTGGAATACCTCTCAATGACGATCCACTGATCACATTGGAATAACTCCCAATGAGGGTACCGGCGGAATCATTACCTCCCAATGTTCCGATGGCACCCTCATTGGCGACATGATCAATGGATCTGACACCTCTTTGCGGACCATGGTTGGGAAAGGTGGCGTCAAGTGTAATGCCTGGGCTAAAATGGAACACGCCGGAATTGAACACAACACAACCACTGGACTGATATATGTCCTTGACTGTTAGTTAATACACAAACACCTGTTGCTCAGGCGAGGCCGTACATTGGCTGTACCGCTACATCCGTTGGAAGCCCAGGGGATAAATGCCCAAACATTGGCTGCACCGGGCTTCTAACATCTTTGGAACATGCCAGAATTGCACACTTTATCTCAACTTTATCGGATACGGTGTTCACTCCTAATCCCGCGAAGACTTGTCTTGTGTGACCTTGCCCCTCTCGGTGTCATAGCCTTGAACCCCAGTCAAAACCCCGGTGGTTGATCGATGAATGTCGAACCTTGATGCCCATTGAATTGACAAGATCCATGCAAGGATCCATGCGTTTAGGACCTTTACAACTATGGACAAGGGTTTGATAGCGAGATTATGACTTCTCCAGCTGTGAGTTTGGTGGGATGCGTAAGGTCAAAGAGCAAGAAGTGAAAAAACTAGAAAGGCTCCGTCAGATTACCTTGCTTGGCAAGGTCTATTACCACGGTCATAATTATGTAACCCATCCTGCTGGCCCCCAAGGAGGACCCCGGTCAATAGCAGAAATGGTCTGGTCCTGATCTGGACAAAAAAATTGGATTTTTGCAAATCGGCTGGGAGCCAGTCCAGACAGAAAGTGACCAAACATTGAAACTAGCCAGAACCCCAGCCTGGACAGGATTGCTCAGGGCACATACACCCTCAGGCATAGTGTTCGAAAGTCCGGTTAGGTCCGGTTATTGGGTCCGGTTATTGGGTGCCCAGGGGCTCTAACCGAGACCGAGACCGGTTAGCCTTTGTCCCAAAACCTAAAATAACCTAACCGGACCACAACTAACTGGTTACGGTCGGTTATTTGCAGTTACTAACCGGTTAGGACCGAAAAATAAATAATTGGTTATAACAAGGCAAATATGCTCATATGTATCTTGATAGATATTATTCCTGCATATTCTAGCTTTAAAACAAGCCCAAGCACGCTAAAATCGGTGAAGAATTGACATATTTATGCAATTATCCTTGAAAGTCTACACATTTGAGTGATATTTTAGAGATTTGACCGTAACTTAGTCAAATTTTAAGCGTTTTCGACGTTCTCAAGTGCGTTTTGAAGGTGTATAATAGGGCTGGTTATAACCGGTCATAACCGGTTATTTAACGGTTAGTTAACCGCAAAATAACCGGTTATTCCATTTTCAAAATCAACTAACCCTAATATTTTCCGGTTAACTAACCTAACTTTCAAACACTACTCAGGCAGCAATCCGGACAGAAGGTCTCTTAGCTGAGTCGTCAAGCACGCGATATGGCGTGTGCCACTCTTCCCTGAGAATGGGTGTTCGATCCTTGCACTAAACATTTTGTGCACTGTCCTTACTTTTCACGTGTTTTTGTAGTTGTTATGCTCAATAAGCCTGGATAGCCTGTCAGCCATTCCAGGAACCTCATGGACTTTGTAGATAGATCGAGAATACTGATTCTTGTCTGTTGAAGCTCTGGGGGCGTCTCTGGACTCTTTGCGCCTACCTGGGCTGTTTTTTACACCCTGGAATGGCTAGATCTGCAAATCCGGACAAATTTTTGCCGAAAAACCCCCAGATCCACGAACCCGGACAAATTTACAAAATTTGAGGTAGGCCAGGTACAATCTGGACAGAAACTGCGAAATGGTGTCTGGACAAAACCCCCATTTTCGGGATCAGACCGTTTCTGCTATTGACCAGGGTCCTCCCCAAGGTCATATATCCCTTTTATTGACGCCGAAACATTAGAGACTGCTCTAGACTAGTGTTTAAAGGTTCAGTCCATAGGACCGCAAAAAACCGGTGGACTGAACTGAACCGGACCATGGACCGGTCTTTTTTTCGGTTGCAGTTGCCCCAATTTGGGGTTGGTCCGGTTGCCAGTTGCCTCATTTCGAAAATCTTTTAAAACCATTCAAAGACCGGTTTAAATCGGTTGCAACCGGTTAAACGGTCACGTGCGTTACATAGCCTTGTAACCACGTTTATTGCCTTTTATTGGGTTTTTGTTTCATCAAAAACGGTTAAGAATTGAGAAAGATATAACCAAATCCATATTTTACCCGAGTCTCTAGGAGATGTAATTCAGTTTCAGTCATAGCTATGTCAAATGTTCATTAAATCTCTTGAAAATTGGTAGAATGACGGGTATTTATATGCCTTACTATTTTATATAACCCGTTTATTTTTCAGAGTAATAATGGTTGAGATACAAATGGTTTATATTGGTATAATAAATTATACGCAAAAAAACCGGTCTGGATCGGTCTGAACTGGTATCATGGACCGCAAAAGACCGGTCCTAGGTGGTTCGGTTCGGTTCCCTCAATATCTGGGTCGGTCCTGGACCGGTTGCGGTCCACGGTTGCGCGTTTTCGGGGCAAAAAACCGGACTGAACTGAACCTTTAAACACTACTCTAGACTGCTGTCAAACCTAACCATACAAAATTGTCGTACTGGCCCAAGATCATATATCCCTTTTATTGATGCCAAAACATTAGAGACCGCTCTAGACTGCTGCCAAACCCTGTGTTGCAATGTCATTGACTTATATCTGTTTTTTCTGGTGCGGCCAAAATATATTCATGGTCTTTATTGTCAGGATTTCTTATCTTATAAACTCTCGTGTAAATACAGTTGAACAAAAAAAAAGGTATGGCTCTCCTCCTCCATATGTCCAAAATGTAATAATTCTTTTTGATCAAGAAATTGAACCACCCTGCTTGCGTGCACCAAAATCATCTCCGCATCCGCCCTCAACTCACCTTGTTCCTTGCCATACCTCATCAACGTCTTCACTAACATCGCAAAAAAAATCATCCCAAGCACCAACAGCCCAGTGATAGCCACCCGTGGACTCAAAGCCGCCATTGTGGAGGGTGCTGTGAATAGATGCCATTCGTTCAGACAGACTTCACATGCGAGAGGTTAAAAGACGTGACACTCACCACTGGAAATTGATGTTACAGATTCGTTCAGACATTGTCCCAGGTTGTAATTATGCGGACCTTTATGAGTATTAGTATGAGTGTTAATAAGTTGCTGAGAATTCTCACCTCCATCCATCCACATGACCACCTCCCCTTCTTTCACATCTGCATCTAAGCACTCTCTTTTAAATGTCGCAAATACACATTTGAAGTCCTTTATCTCTGCTTTATGAGAAGAGGCATGAACGTGACACAATCACACTGCCAAAGTCAGGTGTGGCAGCGTAGTAGTAATGTTTGCCTGAGGACGCCCATCCCTATTTGCCGCACTGGCAATGCCATTGCACCTTCGTCAAGTGTATATACTCCCATATCAGCCAACGTGCCCATGTTCCAGAGCCACGAGAATGAAAGAGCCACACACAACTACCAATGTCCATATCCGAGATGACGTCATCGTGGAGGATGCAGGGGTATGATAGTGCGCAACGCCAAGTCCAACTCGACCGGATATGCGTACCCCTCTTAAACAGGTTCACAGGCACGCTTTCTTCAGGACCAGTGTGATGCGCTATTCTATAACACAGTATCACTGGATCTTGATAAGTTAACTAAGCAAAACCTTTACCCACTCCCATCTCATTTTATCACTATGCAATCCGATCCATCTCAGTCGTCTTTGTGGGACACAACCACTGCAACTTCATGTCTTACCCCATATACTTGTTCAGAAATCATCACGACATGGCCACTGCCAACATTGCCTTCTCGTGATCGCCAAACAAGATCTACGCTTATTAATGCTGCCACTGGTTTATTGGCAGCAAATCAAGCTTACCTTCTAAACAATCTGAGAACTTGTCGTCTGGGTCTATCTGTCCCAACCGTAATTGATGAAGCAGATCCTGCTTCGTGGACAGTCAGTTTGGTCACAAAGGAGCTACAGAACTATACATTGTCTCAAATCCATATTGCATGAGATGACCTTCTGCATGCAACTCCTCATTCCAGGTCCCAAATGATGGAGGCAATCACGTCATTGTCTATTGAAGAACAGGTACATGTGTGGAAGTCCTTATCCAGTGTTTTACCAGGTAAAAGACGCTCAGACGTTGCTTTTGCTGGACCCTCAAAACACAGAAGGACAAACACCAAACAAGCTAATCAAAGAGAGGTCAGTTTACAAGACCAAGAAATGCAAATTGGGTCTTTGGTTACCGACATTGCACATGAAAACACAGTTGTTGATTGGACTCCAGAGTTCGATAACAGATTTCTCCATCTTTCCTCCAAACAGCAAATGAACGAAGGCATTTCAAATTTCTTGTTGCATACTGGTAACAATGTGTTAGCCTCAGCTGTTTGCGCGTCATGTGCTAGGGAGGTTGGCGCCGCTGAAGTTGTCACATACGACCCCAAAGAAATTCCCTTCCCTCATCATTTGTGTCCTTCTCCTCCCCATCTGGATCACCGTTTGACAGACAGAATGCTCCTTGAATGTGCAGGTATCAACACTGCAGGATTTGCTACTATCTGCAATCAGTGCAATCACAAGTTGTCGCAAAACTCCCTACCTCCTCTGTCCCTTGCAAATAACATGTGGATCAGAGATATCCCATGGGTGTTGAAAGTTCTGAGCCTTCCTGAGCATCTCCTCATTGCAGAATATTACCCAGTGGCCTACATTGTGAAACTGTATCCCAAAGACAAACATGCACATTATTGGAAGTCAGAAATGGCCAGTGGATTGAAAGGAAATGTGTCCACCTACCGCCTTGCCAGCGAAGAAATTCAAGATATGATTCAAGGACCATATATGCCCCCACCTGCTTCTATATTATCATCAATTATTGGGGTGACCTTTGTAGGGCCCAAAAATGTACCTTTGTCCTTGATGCCTGAAATGCTGCATGTTCGACGAAATCGCGTTAGACAGGCCTTGGAATGGTTGAAGGCCAATAATCCCCTTTACCGTGACATGATTATATCAGAAGAACGACTTTCCCAGTTACCAGAGACTGGCATTCCACAAGAGATTATGTCAACTGTGAAGCATTCATCAGATGTTGGTGCATTAGCTCAAGAACAGGATGGTTACATACCAATAGATGAAGAAGATCGTCTTGAGGAAGAGCTTGATATCCTTCAAGGTTCGTGTATATCTTCTCGTTATTATTATAAATAAAACTCACACCTACTCAGATTACGCTTTTGGCATTGCATCAGATGTTGTTACATTTGAAGACAAAAATATAGAAATGGACGTAGCTGGTAAGCTTTCTACAGTCTTTTGACCACTGAGGTGTTGATCATAAAAATTATATAAAAAGAAGACATCCCTGCCTCTGTCATACCGATGCAAGCCACAGGCATGATCAATATTTCTGGGTCTGGTGTCACAGATAGCGACATTGCGTCTCATGCTTTTGCAAATGCATCTGAAGAAGATCAAACCCCTTCATTTCTGATACACAGATCTAGTGCCTTTATCAATGAATATGCACGTAAAGATGAAGCAACAGGTTTGAGGTCAGATGGGGGACCAAGCAATCCTAACCAACTCCTGGGATCCTTTCCCATCCTTTTCCCATATGGTGCTGGCGGATTTGAAGTTTGGCGTAAGGAAACTGTACCCTATGAAGTTCACTCATGCTGGGCACTCCAATATCACAATAAACGCTTTCGATACGATCTTCAATTCATCTTCCAAGTGTTCGGTGTCATGCAGAAAAGAATGGTCTGCCATTCCACAGCATTGCAGATGCAAAGATCTGCATATCGTAACAATGAAGTTGCCATACGAATGTTGAAGCCTGCTGATCTTCTGAAAGTGAGCGCTGAAGAAGCTTGTTGTGTACCTTTCTCAAATCCTTCTGTACAAGCTCTTCGCTCGCAGATAACTGCTGTATGAGCAAACATCCAAGGCACTGATGAGTCTTGCAAAAGCATTAGAACCAAGATTTGGAGTGCAACGGTGGTACTTAACCCACCCAACCTTTGGATAACTATCAATCCGAGTGATACTCAAGACCCCATAGCACAAGTTATGGCAGGCGTCAAGATAGATTTGGATAAGTTTGATTCATTGGTTGGCCCATCTTCAAAGGAACGTAATTCGACAATTGCAAAGGATCCCTATGCATCAGCACGCTTTTTTCATCTAGTCATCCAGGTCATTCTAGAGGAACTGTTTGGATTAACAGCTTCGAAAGGAGCCAAGAAAATACAACGCAAACCTGGTATAGTTGGGGAACTGAAGGCGTACATTGGCTCTGTCGAAGCTCAAGGTCGGGGAAGTCTTCACCTTCATATTATAATGTGGCTAGTTGGGGGCCCTATGGCGGAAGATATGAAGGTACTGTTAACAACTCAAGCATTCAGAGACAGGGTCTGTGACTTTATACGCACGTGCATTAGTGTGGACATCGATGAGCTTGGTGAAGCTGAAATAAAAGCTTTGCCAAAGGAAAAAGGTGTCACTTTTTCACAGCCTTTAGATCCAGCAGAGGATCATTACACTCAGAAGTGCAAATCAAGGGACAAAGCTATCGCTAGAGCCGTTCAGTTTCATTCATGCACTCCAGATACTTGTCTCAGAATGGTAAATAATCGCCAAATCTGTAAAAGGCGAGCGCCCTTTCCTCTTTCCAGCATGGAATGGGTCGAGCCTTCTGGCACTTGGGGGCCAAAACAATACTGCGGAAAACTGAACAATTGGAACAAGTGGATACTACGTGCGTTATGGGCCAACCATGACATCAAGTTGATAACAAATGCACCTGTGACCAAAAATATTATGTGGTACCTTTCAACGTACACCTCAAAAAAACAATCGCGTTCCAAAAATAGTTCTGCAGTGCTAGCCAATCGTCTTGCTTTTCACAACCTACAAGAAAAACACAATCACGACAGCATCAACAGAAATAAAAGGCTGCTGACCCGTTGCGTTAATTCCATTAGCCGCGATCAAGAGTTCAGTGCACCTGAAGTAATCAGCTATATCATGGGATGGGGAGATTGGTATATCTCGCACCACTTCGTTCCCATATTTTGGGATAGCACCACAGCTGCACTGAAAAAGATGTTTCCTGGTTTGAAAAGAAAAACATTAGTCATCATGTCTTCTGTGCACTCTACATTTTTTGACGTTTTGCATATAATAGCCATTGGTCGACAACATTTCCTGACAATGCAATGCAGTTAGATGCAACCCAAGGCCCTGGGACAGAAGCAGTAGAAGAAGTTCTCATACGTTGCCTTATCTTTTGACATTGTCAAAATGCCTAATCCAACATAGGACGATTCTGTAAGAGTTGAGATAATCGATGGCAACTTTACAATACATGATCAGCTCAAAGACTATGCTTTTCATGGGGATGGCCTAGAATCTTACAGCTTCCTTGACTTCTGTCTGGACACCTATGATGGCGAACCACTCAAACCAAAGAACGATAATGATGATGGTGTATGAAGAGGAAGGACTATGCACGACAGGTTTCTGTACAAAGACGGATTGGGTAAAGGGTCGAGATGTAGGGTAATGTGAGCTAAAGGTCATGAAACAATGCCCAAATTTATCGGACGTTGGTTCCCAAGGAGCGACAAAACAGACGAACAAGACTTTTATACGGCAAGTATGTTGCTCCTGTTAAAACCCTGGTGCTTGATATCAGCCAATTTGCTTGGAACACATATTACTTGGGCGGACAGCTTCTCACATTTTATGCTCAGTGCATCCCCACAGACTAAAAATATCCTCACTAACATTCAATATTTTCATGAATGTTCGGACAGGGCGAAAAACCTGATAGATTATTCGATGCAGGGAGGCATTCTCACACAGTGCGAGGTTGATGTACAACAACAAGAACAAGTGGTAGAAGATGAGGAGGAGACAGAACTGACGGAGTGGGATGTCGAACACACCAAAGCTTCTTGTGTATCATCGCATCTCGAGAACTTCTGCATAGATGCCCTAGCAATCGCCGGCACCAGTGGAATTTTTCCAACTTTGCCTGTTGAAACCGTATATCGTCAAGGTGCACAAACGGCAATGATGGATGGATGAACTCACACAGTTTCTTCAATGGGATCAGGAATTGACAGCCATTGTCCGCACTCAAGATGAATGCATGTTACATCAATCGGTACCAAACCATCTTCCAACTCGGCCTGGTCAAAGTGTTTCAAAAGCAGTTCTAAGGGCAGACACTCCAAAAATTTCACCTTCAAAACGGCCCGAACTCGCAATCTTGAACGCAGAACAAAGAAGAGTGCATAACATTGTTGAAGACAACCTTCTTTGCCATCTTGCAGGTCGTAAACCTCCACAATTGCTGATGATCGTCCAAGGTCAAGGAGGCATGGGAAAATCTTTAGTGATTAAAACAATTTCCGACACATTTGCAGAACACAGTGCCAGTAGTGCTTTAGCTAAAACAGCAATGTCGGGTGTCGCAGCCAGCCTCATAGAAGGGCAAACATTGCACTCTTGGGCCGCGCTTGGCATCCGCGCTCCTAGTTCAAGCAATTGGCTATCGAATGCACTACCACTCACTGCCGCTAAACGCAAAAGAAATATACCTGGAGTCATAACTTTGATCATTGACGAATGTTCGATGCTTACCAAAGTAGTCTCAGCTTGCTTGGCCAAAGTTGTGGAGTACATTCGAGGTGCAAATGGCGAAGGTGATGCGACAAAGCCATTTGGAGGATTGAACGTCATTATGTTTGGCGACTTTCATCAATTCCCTCTGGTGTCAAATCCAACTGGTGCTTTGTACCATCCATCAGTGGCCTCAGGTTCACAACCACTTTGTCAAAACATTGGAAAACTGCTGTACGAGCAGTTCCAAACAGTTGTGATTTTGAAAGAGCAGAAAAGAGTCGTTGACAGAGTGTGGAAAGGCGTGTTAGACTGTTTGAGGGAAGGGGAGTGTACTGAAGAAGACTTGAAGGAAGTGCATAAACTCATAATCACTGAAGACAACAATGATAATGAAGAGTTTTCCTCTGAAAAATGGGATAACGCCGTACTGGTCACTTCTCGACATGTGGTTCGAGAAAAGTGGAACAATGCTGCTATTGCTTGTCATTGTGCTCATACCGGTAATCAATTGTATATCTGTCCAGCTGAAGATACGGAAGGTATAGCCCGTACGCCGTTGCCAATCAAAAGACGTGTCCTGGTCGCAGGCATGCAGACAAAACCTTGTGGAAATCTAGCAGATGAAGTTAAAATAGCAGTGGGAATGCGAGTCATGGTCACCCTGAACCTGTCAACCGACAAAGACTTGGCAAACGGCACCAGAGGCACGATTGAGGAAATCATATTGGACCCTCAAGAAAACTACATTGAGCTGGATGAGGACAGCGCCATCCGTTTGTCATACCCTCCGGCTCTGGTTTTGTTCAAACCTGATGTGGAGGTCACCTATCAATTCGACGGTCTGAGAAAAGGCCTTTTACCTATATGTCCATCGGAAAGGGGTTTCACTATTACTGATGCAAAGGGTCATACTTTCCGAGTCCACAGACGGCAGCTAGCCACCACCCCTGCTTATGCATTTACCGACTTCAAATCGCAAGGGCAAACACTTTTTATCCTGTTCATCAACATCGCTGCACCACCTGGGGGGTCACTGTTGAATTTCAATGTGTATGTTGCTTTATCACACGGACGAGGCCGCTCTTCTATAAGGCTTCTCTGAGATTTTGACGACACACTGTTCACAACCCATCCTTCAGAACATCTCCATTTGGAGGACATTCGACTGTGTCGATTGGACGCTGCTACTGCATTGCTATATCCATGAATCATCAAAAAATGAATAATATGTAGAATAAAGAACTTAGTGCTATTCAATGTGCATATATCAATTGAACCACACAACATGCCCTGCAAAACGATGAATTGTCAATGAGCAAATACCAGTCAGATGCCTTGAACACTTACTGCTTTGTTTGGTTCATTTCCAGTTATTTTAGATACTTTTGTAAGGACTTCTTTTATGAGTTTGGTGATATTGCATCATCATAAATTTCACGTTCTATCTATTACTACAGTACTCTTAACTTTGATGCGCGCTGAGGCGAAGTAGAAAGAAAAGCCTGTCGTTGAAGAGTGAGTGGCTTTATATAGCACTTGAAGTTTAGGGCCAGCTGGAATGACACCTTTCAGCCGGCCCTAAATAGCGAGCACTATATATACCAGCTGGCATTGATGTGTTCCCGTTTCTGCTTCCTTACTTCCTTGTTTCCTCATATGTTTCTGGGTAGACTCTAATTATGTAGTAGTGTAATTAGAATTTAGAAGTAATGATTTGACGCACCGAACTTCAATCATCGACATCAAGGGATGCCTCTCCTAAACAACGGCATCCTCTTTGTCAAAACTTGGTCAAAACTAAGTGCCTAAAGCACACAAGTCATTCACATTGATAATGTCTGAGACTCACTCCCCAAAAAAAAGACAGGTAGAAGTGAGTCGAATTACATTATATACATCGTGAACATTAACTCACTCATAGAACGCAGCTGGCATCGACCTTCATAGATTTAGAAGCTGTAGTCGACGTGGAAGAAGACGACAATGATCCTGACGAAGAAATGCTCCTGAGTGAATTTGCACCTCAGTTGACGATACTTATACCCCCTATAGATGATCTTATTGACAATGAGGAGCCGGACAACAACGAAACTGGAGCACAATGGAACTTGTTGCGTGAATTCGATTCACGAGGAGGAGATATCGATGCTGGATGGCAGAGTTTCATGGAACGCGCTCACATTCGATCAGTTGATGACAAAAGTCACAGCCTTCCTGATTATCAAGGCCCAAGGACTGATGACTATCGTCTTTACGAAATAACTTGTCCAGTAGGATTGGCTTGTAACATATCTGTTGATTTATTAACTAATCAGCCGCTGCAGATTGGGAAAGAAGAAACCACCATTTTCCAAATCCTTCAAGCATTTGTGAATTGGAGCACAGTGTCTCCTCCTGTGAGATCAGCCATTGCTCACAATTGCCATCCTGGATGAATTTTCATTGAAGCTGCCTCTTTCAATGCAGCCAATGCCGTGGCTCGGCAATTCGACGTTCTCAAGAAAAGCGACGTGAGGGTTTTGCCTCATGAAGAAGCTCACCTGTGTCTATCAAGCGAAATCTGATTTACACCATCCCCTGATTCCTGGATTAGAATCCGAAAGGGTCGATATCGAGGGGACATCGCTTACATTCGCCACGTCAATTCTAGGTCACTGCATATTGATGTGTTAGTCGTGCCTTGCGTTAACTATGATCAAGGCTGTAAATGAAAGCAGGGGATCCGGCCACATCAGCAGCTTCTCAATGCTCAAGACATTCAAAGAAAAGTTGGCCCTGGCAAAATAGAAAATCGGAATGGCCACTGGTATTTCCAAGGGGAGACCTACACTGGTTGTGGTTACTTCTTGATGTGCGACGTCGATACCGCCGTTTATTCACCAAAGCCTGGTTTCCCTACCGCAGCTGAATTGAACGCCTTCAAAGAATGCGAAGAAATACCAACTCATGTCTTAATTGCTACAGCGACACAAATTGCTTCACGCACCCTTCGTCCAGGCGACAGGATTCTGATTATTGCTGGTGATTGCATTGGATTATTGGGAGAAATTTGCACAATAACAGAAGACGAGGCAGAGGTGTACTTGCCAGACCAGGATTTACTCTATTCATTGCCCTTACAAGACATCCAACGTAACTTCATGTCAGGTGACAATGTGGAGGTTGTGGCAGGTATTCACAAAGGCCTAAAAGGTTTTGTCATGACATGCTGTGATCATGTTCTATCACTCTATGACCCGGATACCAAGATTGAGGTACACAACTCAACTCAGCTATACATTCTAACCTTTTAAATTCCTCCTTCAGGTCGAAGTCCTCAACTGGCAGACAGTGTTTCAGCCTACACCACCAATGTTCAGTGTCCTGTCTAATATTTCAAATAAAAAACCAACCACGTCATGGCTTCAGGTTAACAGTGGGCTGAATGGAGAAAGCCTATGTTCCTTGGAGCTTATCAATATGAAATATGATCCAAACCGGAGCTACCAGGGTCGGGAGGTCATGGTCATAAATGGAAACTTCAAAGGCTACTTGGGTCACATAACATCTACTTGCGCGGATGATAGTGTTATCATTGAATTACGCACAACTATGTGAAAGGTGCAGCTCAAATTGAGCGATCTCTCCTTGGTGTAAGCACACTCTATCTTTCTTTTCAAACAAATATCCTAAATTTGATATAGAATCGAGAACAGACCCCTACAACAAATCAAATCAGACATTGATGACAGCAAGCAAAGTGTGACCAGAATGGTAGTAATATCAGCAATGGATGTGCCGAAGACACCAATGCCAAATACAGAGGAAATTCCTGCAAGTCCATCTTGGGATCTGTTGTCAGAAATGCCGAATACCAACAGTAAATATATTTTGCAATTCATCAATCAGTAAATTATTGAGTCCGATATAGATGCAGCTTGCTATTGGCTAGCCGATGAACGTTTCAAAGGAATGTGCATCTGTTTGAAAATAGTGGATATTGATGTGCCTACAGAGTATATGGCTTACAAGAACAAGAATTTGGAATTCTTGGAGCCTAAAGGCAACACAGCTGTGGTCAGTTTTCTATGAGAATGGCAGCACATTCCAATGCAGTACCTGGCACCTGTCGCTCCCGACACGAAACATGTGTTGGTAACGGCCATCAGAGGCAACTGTATGGGAAAGGTTTTCAGAGTTTTGACATATAGCACACACAAATGCAAGCTGAGAGACATTAGCATACAACCTATCCACAAGAAAGACGATTTAATGATGGAGACTCAAAATCTTGTTGTAGTTCATCCTTCAAAGAAGTAGACTTCAAATAATTTGTACATTTACGCATTATCATACATTGCATCGACCTCTAGTCAATCTCTTGTACTCTGTATGGACAGTGAACATTGTAACAGTCATTGCCTATGCCCCATTGCAGATGTGTTTCTGCGAAAACATCGTATGAAAGGTGAGCCCTCCTTGACCATTCATACATTCCAACTCCATATGATAGATGCCATATCATGGGGCAGCCTCGGCCACATGGCCTGTTCCACAAACATGTCGACCAGTAGTATTCAATCAACCGACATTCCAGTTGGTCAATGTCATATGTTGTAGGTGATCCTTGGCATGAGATCAATATTCCATTGATGGTCATCCATGGGTAAAAACAATAGATTCGAAAAGGGGAAATTGTGTTCATTTGCAACATCAAATTGGAGGACAATAATGTCAACAACACAGATGAGCTTTGACTTTGGTGGATTTTGAGCTCCATTCCCTAATCATGGGTAAATAATGTCGATATTGTGAAGTGACTCGATACTTACGTTGTGCATCCTGACCCACAGAATGCTTTTCGTTGAATCTTCTCTGTCTGGATTGACCTCTCCAGTCTCTCTGTCTACGAAACCATGACTGTCGCACCATCCAACCCACTCAGTCATTGTGCCGGATGGTGTCATGATGTCGATATCTCCAGGGGGATGATCAATGAAAAAGTCAGGTTCTATGACGTCCAAAGCTACTGATCCCCCTATAAGTCCATGAACGCTCTCCAATATCTTGAATAACGAATCCATGACTCCGTCGTCCATGAAAGTGCGGATTACGCTCCTGACACGAGTGCTAACGACAGAGCAACAGCTTTCCACAAACACAGAGTTTATGTGACTGAGCTGAACAAGTTTCGAAAGGGATGGTTCATTGCTAGTAGCCTGCTCGATGATACAAGAGACTATGTCTGCTGGCAACTGCTCAGGTATTGACATTGTAACCAAAGGGAGCAAAGATGGCATGGTTTGTTATTATTCTTTCCCTTTCCGCATGTGATGACAATATATATATTAGGACACGCCGGAATGTGAACTTACCTTCACACCATCATGTCCTCAAATTATCTTGCGACCAGAAACAATGTGATAAAGAATCGCACCACCATAGTAAGCTTCAATCTGTCTATGTAGAAGTAGACTAAGCTTTGTGCAGTTCCACGCTCACACGTACTGGGGATTGCTGTACAGAACAGACTCTAACATGCCACAATTGGTGCCTGTCCCCGTCTACCTAGGAAAAACGAGTGCAAATAGCTTGGACGATTTGGACACGGATATCTGGATTCGCAGTGGTTCCTGCTTCACTCAATGCATCAACTTGGATGAAAATTGTTTACATGTAGGCTCCTCAAAGGGTGGTAGGCCATACCGTCTTTGTCCTCCTCTCACCATCTACTATTCCAAACATGTAAGTAATTTGTCACTTTTTTGTACATCCCTGATCCAACCTCTTCTAGCCACCTCTGCCCACATATGCCAGGCACTTCAATAGGGCAATCAAACATATTTCCGGTAATACAATCGACAAATGGTACAGTAACGTCTTAGTAGTATGTCACGGCAAACAAAGCGCCGTGGCAGGTGTTCAAATGAAGCATGTCTCTTACATTAACAAACACATCATTCGGTATGTATGCCGGTCCTCCATTTATGCATTAATAAAGTTCTTAAGCAGGTTGATAACCGATGGTACGCTTTCTCAAGACCCATAATAAACACTTCCTTCCCAGTTACGCAAATTTAGTTACCAGATTGTTATATTTACAAATTCACTTGTTCTTGAGCGCTAATCATGTCCAAGTGGATTGTCATTCATATTGCGCGAAAACACAAGAACTTCTTGTCTCGAGAAAGTGGTATGTTATGTTACTAGCTTGATTCAATAACACTTATAACCACAACCCTAGAAACTGTGTCAAATCATGTTGTATGCCTTCCAATCGCGACTTCTCTTTTTCCGCTTCACTTAACATGATAAAGACAACAGGTGTGGCGGCAAACCTGATTATGGGACAAACTATACATTCAAATGTCCAACAAACACCCCAAATTACTTCAGATAGTCATCTTCCAATGTGGAATGAACTAGATTAGGACTATTATGTATTCCACATGTAGTGTATTGTTTTACCCTTTTTCAATCTCCGACCGCGAAATAAATAGTGATTCTCAAGTTTCTGGTGTCGCAGCTCCCCACCTAACACTTCGTTTCCTATCAAGAAATTTTTGTAAGTACCACCATGCATGACCTGTTTGTATTCTTATTGAGAAGCCCACAGACAATGGCATTCAGTGGCCCTGCCGTACGCAACCGTTTGATCCATACCGCGCAGTATTGCGCGAGTCCAAACTGGAATTCCAGAGTAGGATGGGCCAACTCAAGATCTGGTCAAATTTTAGTCAATGCCAAAAGTGGAGATGAAATGTTTTGCATCATAGTGGGCACGGTCTCTGAAACACGATTCAAGATGGGGCCCGTTGGAAACTACAACCCCGAATTCAACAAGCTCAAGGATGCCAAATACACTTTCAGTTTGGACAAACCAACGAATCCTGATTTCAGACCCGACTGGGCCACCACTGTCAAAGCCTTAGAGGATGCTGAGAATATGATACAGAGTACCGAGGATCATCGACACTTCATCGAGAAAGTCAGCAATCTCAGGTCGCTGCGATTGAGCACTTGTGTTCTCCAAGAAAAGGTGTGGTTCAATTACAATTATCAACTCAATGATCTAACCGCAAATCACAGGATCCCAGAGTATCAGGTAAACACGTTTATGATTATTGTCACCTATATTGACATTTTTTATAGATGAAATTAAACTATCACAATGGCCTGTGCCGCCGGAGTATCGTGACGCTCTAGCTGACTTGGAAGACACACTAGTGTTCGCAAGTTCAGTTCAGTCCGGTTTTTTGCCCCCAAAACGCGCAACCGCGGACCGCAACCGGTCTAGGACTGACCCAGATATTGAGGGAACCGAACCGAACCACCTAGGACCGGTCTATTTCGGTCTATGGAGCCGGTTCAGACCGATCCAGACCGGTTTTTTTGCGTATAATTTATTATACCAATATAAACCATTTGTATCTTGACTATTATTACTCTGAAAAATAAACGGGTTATATGAAATAGTAAAGCATGTAAATACCCATTATTCTACCAATTTTGAATAGATTTAATGAAGATTTGACATAGCTATGACTGAAACCGAATTACATCTCGTAGAGACTCGGGTAAAATATGGATTTGGTTATATCTTTTTCAATTCTTAACCGTTTTTGATGAAACAAAAACCCAATAAAAGGTAATAAACGTGGTTACAAGGGTATGTAACGCACGTGACCGTTTAACCGGTTGCAACCGATCAAAACCGGTCTTTGAACGGTTTTAATATATTTTCGAAATGAGGCAACCGGCAACCGGACCAACCCCAAATTGGGGCAACTGCAACCGAAAAAAAGACCGGACCATGGTCCGGTTCAGTTCGGTCCACCGGTTTTTTGCGGTCCTATGGACTGAACCTTTAAACACTAAGACACACACACCGTTGCGCCACTCATGGCTTACAACGAAAAAGAGTCTCAAATTTTGCCTGAGGAATTGCCATCCATTCTCAAAGGGACTCTTGTCAAAGTAATCTTCACCCTCCGCCATTATCATATTAAGAACACTACACAAGACAACAATACATACACTGGAACAATCGAACAGATCATCATCTTAGAACGTGCACCTCCCAAGAAGATCAGTCCTTACCGCAAAGGAGGTGGACCGATTCGTGTCTGACCTTTGAACATTCCCTCTTGGGAAGAACAAGCAGCCGCAGTTCGTGCGTTCTCATGGTCAAGAGCTACCCTTCGCAATCTGCCTCCAGCCACGCAAACCGCTGGTTCCTCAGTCAATGTTCCTGCAAAAGGCAATCTAACAGCAAACGATGCCTCCCCATCTTTTCATAACGTCCAGGGACCTGAAGTTGAAGCTTCCGACGTTCCAGTTGCGGTTGCAGACAATCACATTACATCTTCCATTATTACCATTTCTCCAACTCCAGCCCTCGGTCAGATGACCCCACTTTCACCAACTACTTTACCTGCTGTGCCACCTTTGGCTGCGGCCTCGATGACATCAAGTGCGCCCCCCCCTGAGACCCACGATACATTGTCACCGACAAACAACCCTGTACCACCTTCAGGAACCCCAGAGACTCAGAACATATGGGCCTGCCAGTAGTGTTTGAAAGTTAGGTTAGTTAACCGGAAAATAACCGGAAAATAACCGGACCTAACCGCAACACTAACCTAACCGCGGTTAGGGTTAGTTGATTTCGAAAATGGAATAACCAGTTATTTTGCGGTTAACTAACCGTTAAATAACCGGTTATAACCGGTTATAACCAGCCCTATTATACACCTTCAAAACGCACTTGAGAACGTCGAAAACGCTTAAAATTTGACTAAGTTACAGTCAAATCTCTAAAATATCACTCAGATGTGTAGACTTTCAAGGATAATTGCATAAATATGTCAATTCTTCACCGATTTTAGCGTTCTTGGGCTCGTTTTAAAGCTAGAATATGCAGAAATAATATCTATTAAGATACATATGAGCATATTTGCCTTGTTATAACTGATTCTTTATTTTTCGGTCCTAACCGGTTAGTAACTGCAAATAACCGACCGTAACCGGTTAGTTGCGGTCCGGTTAGGTTATTTTAGGTTTCGGGACAAAGGCTAACCGGTCTCGGTCTCGGTTAGAGCCCCTGGGCACCCAATAACCGGACCTAACCGGACTTTCGAACACTACCTGCCAAACACTTATCATTCCTTCCTTAAAAGCTTTAGGGAAGTGAAAAGCGGATGAAACCATTGACGATGAAAGGCCAACAAAGAAATCCTCTAAGTAAGGTATGTTATCTTTAGTCTTGCGATCACGACGAATTGTTTCTGACCATATATCAGGAGAACGTCATATCATTGAATAATACATGCGGTCTCTCATGATCATGATTGTTATATCTCCATTTCGTCAGCAGCGGCTTTGGTCTATCCTTTTATGCATATCTCTCACCTGTTTAACAATTTCTTAAACTCCATGTTTATACGTGCCTAAAGAAACTTAGGCCTTTCTCCATATGTGTTGTTCTTTTGCCATGCCTCCCACGTTTCCTTTTCAGTACATCTTTATTGCTCTTCTGCACTTGCCTCAGGTTTACATATTGCATTCACGAGGTCATGTCCAATTCAATATGTGGCTAGTACCAGGAACTGCGTAATTGCCTGTATTAATATGACATACGACATTGATTGTAATCTTTGTAACAACATAGTCTCAGTATATTCACCACAAGATAAAGGACAAGGTAAATTTGAGCTCCAGTTTCTGATACCTGCGTTGAAATTTTTGGCATAACTACAAAAAACATATGCTTTCCAGCAATTAATCATATTCAAAGCTGACTGATTAATAGAATGAGTACTTCTCTTTCAAACAATAACCCATCGGATCGCCAAGTATTTCAAATGCTGGGCACCACTACTTATCATAACTTATAGTCAATTGCCTCATTGTAATCTAGTGAGTTCATAGCCCTCGTTTCAGAATCCATACTTATCACCTTTTAGCAATGGACTTCATACTTCGAGGAACGTTGGTCACCACTCGACAGTTTTCGCCTTCGTGCAAGGCGGCCAAAACTTATTTTTGCAATGCTGGGCTGTGCACATTTTGGAAAATGGACGCACTGATTTTTTCTTCGACCCGAGCCGCGACCTACTTCGTCAACATATGACCCCCGTCAACAGTGAGTACTTCATTTGAATCCCTTACTGAGATTGGACTCAATATCCCTATAGTCATCTTCCCAAACGGTTTCGTCGCACACACCGTGACCTTCGAAAGGGATGGGAGGATTATGATGGAGTAAAAAATCACTAAATAGTATAGATGTAAAAACTATGCTTTCCGTTGATCCAATTTACCCGCTGCCTGCTTCCCTCAATTTGTTGATTTTCTTCATGTCCGCATAGCATACATTGGCCGATAACTCTCGAATCCTCCCCAATGCGACCTTTTTCGATGGTAATGCTTCTGCCCACAGTGCGCTCATGGTTTTGCTGGACGCTTCAACCAACTAATTCTGCCAATTCAACTAGATTGGGTTGTCGATCATGAACACAAACTCATCAGGCGGCGAGCTAGCCCTACTTCTGACACAGGCCAATAGTGGAACTAGAATCTCATTGATGTGTTATCTGCACTACGGGACTAGTGCTTGGAAGTCCGGTTTTTTGCCTTTTTGGTCAGTTTTGCTGCTAGCATGTTGCCATTAAAATTCCCCAATGAATCTGGGGCACCAGAAAAAGAAATCTTTCCAGTCTTAGACCGGAAAAAAGACCGGACTGACCCTGAAATTTTGTGTTTGCAAACCCCAATTGTAGCAGGGAATTTTTATGGCAATGTTCTAGCTCAAAGAAAAGGTTGAAAAACCGGACTTCCAAGCACTATACAGGACCGTCACTGCCAAAAGTGCTTTGAACCACTTTTTGTTATCCAACGAACACTGAAACGACGTTGTGTGTTTAGTCAAAACCGGTCGTTGGGCTGGCGTCGTCACAGCATTCATCACGATAAGCGAGCTGGCCCCGTTCTAGCATTGGGTGGTGCCCAAAATATGTTTGTTCTTATGACGACCCTTTTCGTACTCTTCTTCCATTTTCCATGATCAATTTGTAGCCGTTGCTTGCGAATATACCCCTAGACACAGAGCAAATGAAATACATAATTTATTTATATCTATGTGTGCATAACCTAGCCCACTTAAAATACTCTGCGCTCAGTTGATCTCGATCCGGATTTAGCACCCGATCATTTTCAGTCACCATCATTCTTCGTCCAAACCCTTAATATTGAGTTGCCATCGTCTTGAGCCTCGAGCACAGTTGGAGGCAGTGGTATAAGTACATGAAGCTCTGCACCCCTCACCCAATGAAATGTTGCCTTAGTGAGATAAAGAAATTTGATCCTGGTCGTCTTGATGGCAGTGTGCATGCCGCCACCATTGATACCTCCAGGAGACGGAGCATCCAACAGCACAGAGACCGACATCCCTGGTTGCTGAGATACTCAAATTTACTTTAACCAAATCCCAACCAAATCCACTGAAATTCTGCGACTTATCCAATAAAAATATTAACTACATATATCAAAATAAACAAATAAATCCAACCCCAAGCAAGGTTTTTGTTGACATTGGAACAATGTCAAACTCTAGTTAGATAGAGGAAGGTTACATATGTGTCAGCTCAGCCGTGTGAAAAAAATAAAAGATTCAGGGGCTTGCTTCGCCATCCGAGTTGTGTGGCAGCTGTACATCACAGTTTTACAGATAAACTTATACTCTAGTTTAGGTCTACACAATATCAGAAGTACCTAGTGCATCGTGATGTTCAAGCAATGTTGCATGTGTTTACCGCCCAGTTTCTGTACTCTAGAATAATTGCAAAAACCAGAATAAAAAATCCAAATTTTTGCTCGTATTATTATATATGCTATCAGTCCCCAGCTAATTCTCAGTTTTTTATGGAGGAGGAGCGGTATCCATTCAGTTATAGCGCGTTTAGGAAAATCCCTGATACCGATTTACATGTTTAAATTTGTAGTTGTTTGTCCAGGCCTTTCACCCTTAGTCAATGATTGCTCGCTGCACTCATAATTAGCCAAAGAATATCGCCTCTCCTGAGTGAACTTCGCTATCTGCAATCTGCAGATGTCTGACATGTCACTATCAACTGAAGAACATCGCCTCTCAGTCAAGCTGTTTGCTGCAGTCCCGGCTCTGCTGCACCTTGCTGAGATCACTCGCGGACCTGCCACAGTCTCGAATGTCTCATCCATGCATGGCAGTCTCGACCTCAAGGAGGGCTGCCTCATAACAAAGTCCATGAAGTACACACACCAGCTTGCTTATATGGTCAACGTAGTGCACTCTGGGGATTCAGAGCCAATTGTAAGTCAAAGGCAAGTCAAAGGTTTCAACTTTCAAGAAATCGCACCGTAGGTGCTGAAGCTCTTCTCATTACAGGAGACTCTCCTTGAACTCAACATGAAGGTCATACTGTATGCCGATTTCACCCTCGACGACACATGTAACCTCACTCTCCATAAGTCTGAGGGTCGTGCACTGGCAAGACTCATCTGACTTCGAACAGTCGAAATATTTGTCCACACGTCACTAGATCAATACACTTTCATTGCATTGTCGCCGTCGTTGTCAACTGTCAATGGGCTTATCAAGATGGTGAAATCCGACAATGACCGGCGTCAACTGGAAATGGATCAAGAGGGCTTAGAAGGCGGATGTTCGCTCAATGTGCACATATATGCTATCACGGTTTCTCTCTACAAGGTTCCTGATCTTTTCTCTTAGAGTAGTTCTGTGTCTCCGGCTTCACCAATCCAGAATATGAGCTAGTTTCTCTCCATCCAGAGCATTTCCTGCCTCGTGGCTCCGTCCTTCCCGTTTACGACCCTGCTACTGGAACTTATAAGAATTATGTTCCATCACGCAACTGACACCTCCGCGAGTCGATTAGTGTTTGAAAGTCCGGTTCGGTCCGGTTTTTTGATGCCCAGGGGCGTTAACCGTAACCGTAACCGGTCTGCATTTTCCCCAGAAGTCAAAAGACCAGACCGGACCGCAAAAAGACCGCAGACCGCGGTTTTTTGCGGTCTATAGACCGGTTTCGGTCTGCATCGGTTTTAACTGGTTTATGACCGGTCTTTAGGCCAATATTTTTAAATTATTAATCGGTAAATTTATTAACATTTTTAATAGCTTCAAAACGAGCCCAAGAACGTTAAATTCCGTTAGGAATTGGTGCTTCTATAAAATAAGTCTGGTACATCTATTATTCCCCAAAGTAATTTACATTTTAATTCATATCTCTCTCGTTTTTTTACCAAATCATACGTTCTTGGGTGCGTTTTAAAGGGTATTTAAGGGGCTACAAAAGACCGGTCCAAACCGGTCAAAACCGGTTCACGTTAACCGGTCTTTTTGCGGTCTTTACATTTCAAAAATAAAAGACCGTAACCGCAGGTCCGGTCTTTTGCGGTCTTGGTCCGGTCTGGTTACGGTCTTTTTCCAGTCACGAGACCGGACTTCCAAACACTAGAGTCGATTGAGCCTAACAGTGCTCGCTTACCACCCTTCTGCCATGACTTTCAGAACTGCCGCATCAGGGAAAAGCTCTCGTCGCTTTAAACGCCGACATCAAATTTCGATGCTACTTTAAAATGATTCAACAGAACCCTCCTACAACCACCCTTCCAGATGACGTTCTCGAGCTTATGGGCCGCGTCGTAGAGCTTGTCGACCTCCTCTATTGGGTGCCTGTGCCAACGAAGGTCTCAATGGGGTGCACGATACAAGCTGAAAAGGCGCCCCTGAAGCCAGGAAGGGCTGGAAGATCTTCCCAACTGCAGTACACTGAGGCAGCGTCTGATGAAGAAGGCAGGATGGAGGGCTCGCCCACTCCAAGTAAAGTTTGTAAAATGTCAAAACGCCATAGGCGGTTTGCCTGGCCAGCCGATGAGGATTCGGAGATGCGGAAAGCCTATGGAACTGCATTGATGTGTGGACATGGTAACCCCTTCTCTTCTGTTTGATCTGCGAATACTAAAGCTTGTATTTTTCTCCCTAGACATTGATTACGATCCAGCCTTGTTCGAGGATGCCTTCCCGATCGATGATCGTGCGTATTTTTTCTGAGCTTCAACAAACCACTCACTATTGTATCTACTAAGCGGCACATTTATATTCTGACAATGCAGCCATGGAGACGTGGAACCAAGGCGTTACAGAGGGTCTGAGCGAATAGGCGACCATTGTACCACAGGGGGTACCTTTTTCCTGCTGTAATTTATCTTCCTCGCTTTTGTACACCTCGTTCTAAGTACTGTGTGACCATTTGCAAATCCTCGGGCATCTAATCTGGCCAGCCGTTGTCTCCAATTCCCAGATTATATCCACAACACAGCGGCTCAGCCATAAGAGCACTTTCATGAACGCTTTTCCCACTTATGAAAGCGGTTGAAAAGTGTTTGAACACCTTGACCTAGGTCTTAGCTTTATCTTAGCTTTTAAAGGGTTCAAACACTTTCATGCTTTCATAGCTTTGAAAAGCGCCCAAAGTGTGAAAAATGAGATTTGCATTTTTCCTGATGGGAGCGCAACAAACTGTTCCTGCCCCTAAAGCCACACACTGCGAACGTCGGATGCAGCAAACGGCACTGACGACGAACTTTTCGTGGACCAAAAAATCTTTCCCCGGGGGGAACGTCTCCGGCGATAAATGACACTGGTGGGAACCACCTAGGCACGGTAAACGTCATGGTGCAGCAAGACGGACGATCCGGAAACGCCTCATGCGATATAAGTACGTCCAGCGGGACAAAAATTTGCACAAGGTCGCCGCCTGCAAAACATGCAGCATATGGTCCATTTTTTACGCAGCGGGTAGCACTGGCTACCTACAAAGAGGCCCCTGTAATTCAAGTCACGGAACAATATGAACCTATATACGAGCCTACAAATGTTTACGCCTACCCATAGCCAGTAATATAACCACTTTGGGGATTTTCTTGTTGCCTGGCATCCCTTCAAGAAAGCGTACTACCATGCCTAAATCAATTGAAAAACTTGGAAGGTCTCGGGATTTTCCCCAGATCTCCTTTGATACTTGTACACCATTCATCGATGGCATCGATGCAACAATTTTGTGGTGAACTAGTCCCATACAGACTATCAACACGTTTTGGCGTTTTTAGTATGGAATCGATGTTTGCAAGAGTGTGAACACCTGGTCCAAGCTGTGTGGCGATTTCCTGCCAAAGGCGGGGCCAGTCAGTGCATGGATCCCTATAGACGGTTTTCCCCGAATTGCTTTTCCGCACGATTTCGGGACTGTCATGCGAAAGTGCTTTCGAGAATGCTGCTGCATGTGCTTTGCGCCACTCTTCGTAGTATTCAAGCTGTCAACAGGAGATTAGGAGGTCGCAGACCAATTTGGTATGATAAGACGTACCCAAGGCATGATTAAATGTTGTGGTAATAATGACAGGACATCAAGAAGAGGTATCCGAATTACCGAAGGGGCTACGTCGCACAGCAGCGGGATGTAGTCATGCCTGGCTGCATACCGCATAATTTCTGCTGGGTGCTTGTGTTGCGCCATGCTTTATGTGTTCAGAATTCAAATGATCGAGATTGTAAGAATGGGAGGGACAGCTATTGAGATATACGCACCTCATGCGGAGATAGCAAACGGTCATTGCCGCGAATACCTCATATTTCTCTGCAGCCTCCGCAAGAGAGGCAAGGAGCGCGAACTCAATATCATCAAGCAGAGGCTGTCGGCGTGGGTAGATGTACTGAAACAGGAGTTCAAGAGTGGGTGAGTCTTCCGAGAGCGGAACCACTTCAGAGACGGACGTGGCCAAATCAGCAGGGGAGAGTCCGGCAGTGTTAACTTCTAGATTTTTACGGTGAATCTTGAAAACGACATTGTCAGAGGAACGGAATGCAATCTCGGCATCTTCAGCATTGACTGAGGGCGATAAGGTGATCATTCAGATTGTAAATGGTAGATTATCACTTACAGATCTTATTCATAGTTAAGGCTTGAGCAGCGTCACTATCATCAGACATGGGGAGTTTCAAACCGAAATTGGCGGGACTAAAAATCAGAAAGAGCGAACACTACTGGGACACTGAGGAAACAAGTTGAGAACGACAACATGGAGCATGATGCAAAACTGGCTTCAATATCCGGCCCTAAATTCAATGCGCCACTGTGACGGGATAACTCAAGGATAAATTCAAATAAGACGCAAACACCTCATAAAAAATTCCATAACGTCGCCGCCTGCAAAGCATGCATCATCTGGTCCAAATCTGGTCCATTTTTACGCAGCGGGTAGCAGCTACCTACAAAGGTCCCAGAAACTCAAAAAAACCGAGGTCACGGAACGACCGACTATGCCATGATAAAAGATTCTAACACGGGTTCGTCTGCCTTCAAAAGAGCGTCTACCATACCCAAATCAATTAAAAAACTTGACAGGACTCCGAATTTTCCTCAGATCTCCTTTGATACTTGTGCGCCATTGATCGACGGCATCAATGCAACAATCTTTTGGCGAAGTACTCCCGCTGAACGGATTATCAACACGTTTTGGCGTTTTTAGTACGGAATCGATGTTTGCAAGAGTGTGAACACCTGATCCAAGCTGTGTGGTGATTTCCTGCCAAATGTGGGGCCAGTCAGTGCATTGATCCGACCAGACGCTGTGCCCCGATTTTCTTGTCAGCTTGATTTCACTTTTATGCGAAACTGCTTTCGGGAATGCCGCTGCATGTACTTTGCGCCATTCTTCGTAGTAACTAATCTATCAACAGGAGATTAAAAGTTCGCAGGCCGTATTATTGGCATTATTGGACATACCCAAGGCACCATTAAATGTTGTGGTAAAAAAGACAGGACATCAAGAAGGGGCATCCGGATCACCAAAGGGGCTACGTCGCACAGCAGCAGCTTGTAGTCATGCCTGGCTGCATACCGCATAATCTCTTCTGGGTGCTCGCGTTTCGCCGCGCTTTAGGTGTTCAGATTTCAGAAAATCGAGTTGCAATAATGGGAGTCATGCTTGTTACGGCTATTGAAATATACGCACCTCATCCGAATATAGCAAACGGTCATCGCCGCGAACACCTCATATTTCTCTGCAGCCTCCGCAAGAGAGGCAAGGAGCGCGAATTCAATATCATCAAGTAAAGGCTGTCGGCGTGGGTAGATGTATTGAAACAGGAGCTCAAGGGTGGGTGCGTCTTCTGAAAGCGGAACCAGTTCAGAGACGGACGTGGTCAGGTCAGCGGGGGAGAGTCCGACAGAGTTAACTTCCAGATTTTTACGGTGGATCTTGAAAATTGCGTTGTCTGAGGAACGGAATGCAATCTCGGCGTCTTCAGCGTTGACTGTTGAAGGTGATAAGGCAATAATTCAAAAAGGTAGGTTGTCGCTTACAGATCTTATTCACAAGTAATTGGGCAGCGTCACTAGTATCATTAGCCATGGGGAATTTCAAACCGAAATCGGCGGGACCAAAAATCACAAAGAGCGAGACACTAATAATGAAACAAGTTGAGCTCAAATATTATTATTATCCTGCCCTAATGCGCCCCTATTCTGTCAGGTCTGATTCCGAGTCTGGGCCGTGCACTCCGTTCTATTATTTTCATTTACATGACCGTATATATAGAGTATAGTTGTTCAACCTTCCTCAAAGGATGCTCATATATCTTCCACATCATTCCCCAAGCCTTGATGGAAGACAGCTGGTGCGTTGGACAATCATTTTCCATTTTTGCCACCGAGTGGGTGACTTTTGTCCTAGTAGATTGGTTTCCTCATCCCCGAAACGAGATTCGGAAAAAATAGCTATGACGCTTGGTCACATCTTAGGTATTCACGGACGATACCTAGCCTTAGGCGGTATGCACACCTCGCGAACTCTTTGAATTCTCCGAAGCGGACGGCTTTCAACTTGAAAATACAATTCCGGGATTTATCAGGTCAAAATATATTGTGAACCAAATCCGATACCTCATGCCTTGGCGCTGGACAGCTTGACACGTACGGTAATAACAGTGTTAATGCAGCTTAGTGCTGAAAAGTCCTTTTTACTGTGGGCCGTCGTTTCTTGAATGGCCATTACTGAACCAGATTTAATTTTGAAACACTAAATCCAGGTCATCGATGCGTTCACACCAGACAGGCAGACACCAGGTGTATTTTTCATCGTTCAAGTCACCCCAGAGCCCACGGTTGAAGAAGTTCGGTTGACGAAATTCTCGCTCTGGACACACCAAAGCGTCTGTCCTCTCTGACCATCTGCTCATCTAGTTCTGCAGCTCTCTCCCCTTCCTCCTGTTGGGCCGCTTCTGTTTCGCCCCACCTGTGTGATTCTCCGCTTCTCCCCGCCTCTCCTCCGTCGGGCCCGAGTCCTCCACTGCCAGTGCTTGCATCACCAAGGCAAGTTTCTAAAATACATCTTCATCAGCGGCGGTAGTGAATAGCAAGAACAACGGACTACCTCCTCGTGGATTGACTTCGGAACGATCTTAAGGTTTTTGGGAGAGTTGATTATAGCTTTCATCTCCTTCAACATTTCCGCAGGAAGTTGCCTGAAAAAAAAAAATGAATCGAAAGGAAGGTTCGGTGGGGAGATGAGATGCTCGCACTCTGCAGTAGTGTACCCATTTTGTTTGAGTACATGGATTGCGACCAATGGATCAAAAGCGAAGTCTGGAACGGAGATTTAGCAAAGGATGCTGAGTGTAGACAATAGAACTTGACTAACCAACTGTGTAGCCGTCAGGAATGGTACCGGTTGCCCTTACGCTCGCAGGTACGGGGACCTCTTCGACGCCTTCGCCGTCTGGTGTGATTTTGTACATGATCGATTGAGTTGCAGCGACCTTGACATGGTCAGGCGAAATGAAATGCTCTCGAGTGAGTAACGTAGGAATTGGTGACGATGATTCCATGAAGCGAATGGATCTAATGATTGGATTCGAATGTCGAAGTAGTGGCAAGTGCGAGGGCCTGGAATAGCTACAGATCTTTGAGGCTCTTCTATGCTGTTCGAGTCTCAAACTGTGATTTTAGAGTGGTAAACCCGTCGGCAGTAGTCAGGAGGTGCGTCAGAGGCGCCGGTGCTATTTTGACGGTGTTCGGAACTCACTTGGTTACTTCAGCTGACAGTGCCAGGCAGATGAGCGGTGCGAGGATTGGGTGAAAGGTGCACTGGGTACAGAATCTGTTCCAAATCTGTTCTATATCAAGCCCGCTTAAACTTGAGTGTGGTGGAGGCTTGTCAAGACCAGTAAATTGTGGGAAAGCCTTTGTGATGATTCACAGGATGCTATGATCTCTGCGTAGCCACTTTAGTGTTCTTCAAGTTTACAATGATTCAAGTACGCTGTCAATATCATTGAGCTATGTGTTGATGTAGTATACATAGTGATATGTGATAAACTAGATGGGTGAAAGCGCTTCGCGCTTTAAGTTCCCGACCCGTCCAACGGAGCTGGCAAGGTAAATGAGACGAGCTGCGAAACCCAAATTGTAGAAGTCTGACGACGCGGCGAGTGAGTCTCATTACCCAAGTGCTAGGAAGAGGACTGCTTGGTTTGAATTATGGTAACGACAACCTTGTAATATGGTTGTGAGGGCATTATGAACTGCGAGAATGCGTGATGAACGTCAGGGCTTGCCTGAATGAAGGGTGTTAGAATTTAGGCATGCTTCCGTAGGTATCGAAAGAAGGCGTCACTGCCCATGACTTTCACGGCTTCCATGGGTACGCCGCGGGAGAAGGAGAAGAGCGTTGCGCCAATTCCCTTCCGTGAGTGGTAGGTGGCGATGGGCAAAGAAGTTTGTTGGGTTGTTGATGGGATGGTGATCACCTAAAGCTGCATAAGAGTCTGTCGGGGCTGTATCGCCCTCGACTGGGGCTGCTTTGGTCTGAGGGATGGTGCAGAACTGCCCTCTTCGTCTGAAGGTCGACAGGAGTACAGTCAAGCACAGTCAAGTACAGTACATTTTGATAATGGGCGTCTTTGATTCTGAGTGGAAATTGTTAGTGTGGAGTATAGGCAACCAAGGCGCGGTACAGACTCGGTTGAGTGTGTCGCATGTAGGCGGACACAGCCTGAGCGACAACGGGATTGTACTTGCGTGTTGTGATGATGGACGACTCGGAGCCTTTGTTCCTGCGCGCCCATGGTCTTCTACATTACCAAACTAGCTAGTTATAGCGTGAATATGTTGAGTGATAGGCTGAAAAGATCCCAGATTTAATACGCCAGGCTTCGTCGCCAGCCGATAAGCAATTGGGTCATCTCTTGGATTGAACGTGGAGAGCAAGCCTGCCTCATTCCATCACGTTGCGGAGTCAGTAGAATACATTACGAAGCAGCTGAAATTGGTTTCTCCGACTCACCCCGGTTGGTTTCGACGCAGTCATTCGCGGTGGTCATTTTGAGGAAATGAGGTGATGCTTCAAAAATAGATTTTGCGTCCCGTTGACGGAGATAAGATGCGCATCAAATCTAGGCTCTTCTAGACCACCCTCAAACCTAGATGGGCCCAGACACGGGCCAGACAATGCGTTTATGCTAGTGGTGCTCATAGTCCGCTTCTAAGAAAAGAGTCAAAAGTATCATTATAAGCAAACCGTGGGACAACCAACGCCTTTGAATTGGAGCAAGGGACCGAGAATAACCGTTACCCGTACGTCCAGACCCACAACATGGACTCTCAAGCACAATCCCAATACCCCTCAGACGGGCCTACCGCTTCACGACATAACCACACGGGTACGGGTCATAACCCCTTTCAATATAACAACAACCACAATCATAATCATCTTCCCCTGACGTTTTCCGCATCTCCTTCTGCGGGGTACGCGAGTTCACCCACATCGGTGTTTTCTTCTGGGGTACACCAACAGCAGCAGCCGGGACAGTGGGGCCATACTACGCATCGTTCGGGTGCTACCGCTATGGACGAAGTGTTACAGCCACCGCACCACCCACAAAGCACTTCGAAAAGCTTGAAGCGGGATTCAATGTCCCAGCCTAACAACAATACGAAAGCGGAGTCGTCGTCGACGAATGGACATGGACATCATGCAAGTGACGATCCGATGCCTTCTACGAGTGATTTTGTGAAAAAGTTGTACAAGTGCGTTTTTTTTTTGCCGTGTGGATGGATGGGCGCTTACTTGGGATTGGGGGGGTGTATAGGATGTTGGAAGACCCGACGTTTCAGGAGGTTGTTTCGTGGGGACCTGCGGGGGATTGTTTTGTCGTCAAGGTGTGTTAACCTGCGTATATGCGTGCTTGTATGCGTGTATGCTGATGGATGGATGTGTGGTAGGATATGAACGAGTTCACGAAATCGATACTCCCCCGGATGTTCAAGCACTCCAACTTTGCGTCTTTTGTACGACAGTTGAATAAATACGACTTTCACAAGGTCAAGAATACGGATGATAATCAGTTTGGTGAACATGTACGTTTCCTCCCCCGCCCCTCTATGAAGAATCCTCATCACCGTGATAAATAGAGCTGGACGTTCCGCCACCCAGATTTCCACGCAGACAGACGCGACGCACTTGAAAACATAAAACGCAAAGTCCCCGCACAAAGGAAATCCACCTCCTCCTCGCACCCACCACCACCTCCCACCATCACCTCCTCCTCCTCTCACCCACCTCCCTCCTCCTCATCTCTCGTCTCATCCCCCACCTCCTCCCACCACCCCCCCTCCGCTTCCGTCGACTTCCTCCAAGCGGAGATCAGAAGACTCAAAAACGACGGGGAGGAGCTCAGGACGAGGCTGAGGAGCCTTGAGAGGAATTATGAGAATGTTTTGGTGGAAATGGTGGGGTTTCAGAGGGGGATGGCGCAGCAGGATGGGTTGATGCAGAGTTTGATTGCGTATTTTTTGGGGAATGAGAGTGGTGAGTAGTACTTTCTTTTTGTTTTTGGATTCGTTTTTTCGGACGTTTTTTTGTTTTTCCTTCTTTTGGGGTTGGAGTTGGGTGGAGTTTTTTTTGGGGTGTGGAGTTTTGGGACGTGTTCTTGAAATGGTCTTTGGGGTTGTTCTTTTGCTTTTTGCTTTGTGGCACCTTCAGATTCATATCGTCATTTCCATCATCGCGTCTCATATTCTTTCGTGTGCCCAGGTGTCTCCTTGCCGTAGTCTTTTCTGCGCATATACTTACCTTCCCCACCACTCCGCCGCTGCTGTCTCGATTCCTTCATCGTACCATACCTCTTCCCCCCTCTTCAGCCTCTAATTTTTTTTGGGCTCGCGTCTTTCACGCATTCATTTCTCGACTCTACCATCTCATTCGGTTCATTGCTTCTTGTTACATTCATTCATTCGCATTTGCATCTTCATTTGTTTCCTATTGTCATCGTAATCTCTGCGCAATATCATATCACTAACTTTACGCTTCTTTTTTTCTTTCCATGTGCCCTCCTCAAATCAACCAAAATGCGGATAATACGCTCTATGAAACTCATATTCACGCCGTGGATCATATTCCCCCATTTCCTTGGGAATAACGACCAAATAATATGCGCATATACTCGCATTTTTAAAACCTCAAATATCTTTACCCCACATACAGGCAAACTAAAATCCGCCCTCCCAGGACCACCAGCAGACCTCAACCCCTTCCTGCCCCCTCAATTCGCACAACGCATCATGGCAGGTGCCGGGGGCGCAGATTTAGTCGGGAGGGCGACGTTGATGCAGATGAGCGAGTTGAGTAGGCGGGCCGGGGGTTGGAACGCGGCGGGTGATGCGAGGGCGGATGCGTTGGCGAGGATTGAGGAGTTGCATAGGGAGAGGGTTGGGTTGGGGGAGTGGGGTGGTTCGAGTGCTGGTAGTCAGCAGCAACAACAGCATCAGCAACAGCAGCAGCAACAACAGCAGCAACAGAGGAGACGAACGAGTATGCCTGAACCTATGGGCCCTCCTCCTCCTCCGCCCACCAACACAAGCACATCGTCTTCCTCCTACTCGGGCTGGCCGCTCTCCTCTGTCCCCATGTCTGTATCTGATGGGAACGGGAGCGGGGCAGTCTCAGAAGCGTCATCGCACGAGGGACTGCAAGTGTATACCGTCGGTCACCTCATGCCCCGGGATATGGATCCCGCCTTTTCCGGAAAAGCCGCTGCGGGGGATGGGGGGTGGACGTTTGATGCGGGTGGGATGGGGGGTGTTGCTCCACCACCACCACCACAACAACAGCAGCAGAGGCAACAGGAAGAAGGGGAATATATGCCGACAAATGGGGAAGAAGAAGTCGTCCGTCCGTCGCCTCAAAACCCCTCTTCCTCCTCCTCCCCCATCCCTGCTGCGTCTTCCTCATCACCACAGTCACAGCGGACCCTCCGCGTGCGCCGGTCGACGTTCGTACCCGGGTGGGCTGTACCACCCAGGGTGTTACTTGTGGATGATGATGCTGTTACGAGGACGCTGAGTAAGAAGTTCTTGCAGGTTTTCGGGTGTACGACGGATATTGCTGTTGATGGTGTTGGGGCGGTGACGAAGATGAATTTGGAAAAGTATGATTTGGTGTTGATGGTTGGTTGTTTTTTCATTTCTTCTTCCCCTCTCCTTGTATGCTTCCTTAAATCTTTCTGCTTCTTTTGAATCCCGACTTCCCCAGAATCATCGCTGACGTTTTTTTGTTTTTCAAGGACATCGTGATGCCCAAGTTAGACGGGGTAGCTGCTACCTCGCTCATTCGGAAATTCGACCAGGGGACTCCGATCATTTCGATGACGAGTAATTCAAAACCGAATGAGATTATGACTTATTATAACCACGGTATGTCCCCTAACACTTATGAGCAGCAAAAAAAAGTTGATCTTGATTCGAAAAAGGCATGAACGATATCCTGCCAAAACCATTCACAAAAGAAGGGTTGCTCGATATGCTCGAGGTACGTCGGTGTCGTCTTCTTCAAAACCCACCTTCTGACCCCCCTATGTGCACAAACAGAAACACCTCATGCACCTCAAAGTAATCCAACAAATGTCACGCATCCCAAGACCAATGGGCGCTCTTCCCGACACGACGACGAACTACGATCAAGCTTTAACTCTTGCCAATCCCTCTTCCTCCTCTGCCTCCCCCTCCTCCACTTCCGCTACCGCCACCTCTTCAGGAGATAACAACAACCCCGGCTGGGTATTCAACCTCGGAGTCGGAGGAGAAGGTGACGAAGGCCGGATTAACCCGTTGGCTGCTATGGGGTTGTCGGATGAGAGTTATCAGACGATGGTGCAGAATTTGATTAGTGCAGAGAGTTTTGTGGAGATGGGTGGGTTGGCGGGGGGAGGTGGTGGGGGAGGTGAGGGATTGAAGAGGGCGTTTGTTGAGGAGGAGGGTGGGGATGGGGATGTTGGGAGTGAGGATGGGAGGGGGGGCAAGAGGAGTCGGTTTGAGGTTGTTGAGTGATTGTGGTCATGAACGGGGAGGTTTGTTTGTGGGGAGGGACCCTGGAGGTGCTTGATGTCTTCGATTGATTGCTACGTATTCGTTCGTGCTCTTGTTATTGCTTTTTTTTCTTTTTTGGCTTCGGTGCCCCACCTACTATCCAAGATTTTATTTAGCTCCTCAACAAATGTAACATTAGATATCAAAATTCCTATCGTACATCCGAAAAGTGTACAATATTATGTATGTATGTGACTTACTAGTCCGAGCAGTGTTTTTCAGGTGAGTGGTTCCAACCACAACGAAACCGCGGACTTTCCGAGTTCCAACATTATTATAAAACAGCTCCCCTCCAAGGTTGTGTCCATGCGCAGGAACGATGTCGGATGCGTATAGCGTTTCTCGATTTATTTATCTTTGTTTCGGCTGCCAGTGTGAAGCTGACCATCATCTGCATGACTTACCATCGGCCACCAAGACGTTTTTGGAGCGATAACAAGAGGGAATCTACGTTTTTCGGGGAAGTATTGTACGGGGTGGCATTGCTTCTTGGGTATCACTACCCTTCGTACTCAGGAGTCAAGATTCACGATTCACGATTTAGCTGACATCGTTGTCATGATCAGGGGGGCTTTACCTGTCATTGGTGTGTAGTACGAGCTGTCCTTTTGGAAGTGATGATAGCTAATTGTTAGGAAACTGTGAAAGCGGCCACGGACCTCCTAGACATGCGGGGGAGGGAGTAGTCAAGCTTATTCTACTAGTCGACCGAGAAGTATCGCTGTGTGCGTCCTTGAGCTTTGGATTCATCACCCTTCTTCTTTTTTAAAATGCACTGAACATGCGTGTTTTCGTGTAGAGGTTAAATTCTCCCTGGGGGGATGCGTGCCAGGACTGGCATGCCGTATTCTCAGAGGTGGAGGAATTGGAGTCGGATCGGTGAGTAGGATTGTTACTTAGTCTATCGACTTCAAGCTGAAGGGCTGACATCTCTAGCTGATGTATGCCGGGATGGGCGTCGAAGCGTCGAGCGCGCGGCTATAAAGTGCTTCAATCTGCTGAATCCAAATTTCTATGTGACCTGGTACTGGACAAGGACGGGAACTTGAAATATGCTTCTCACCTCCGAGGGTAGTAATGGCACCCTCTTGCGCACATCCACGTCCGTGGTCTATGCTATCAACTACGGTCGTCGAGTTAATTCTCTTGATGATGAGTTTGTCGTTACTCATCTGTACGTTTGTTTTTGGGTTTTGATGTTTAATCTTATTCATCTCTACTAGGCTTTTTCGTATAATACACTTCATTAGGTATGAATCTTATTCGGTTAGAAATTTAATGCCAACTTAACTGATAAGTATGTACTCACAGCGTCTCGTAATGTTATCCTGTATTTGTGGTGTTTCGACGGAACATTTTATTGATGACGAAATAGGGTTCCGTGCAAGTTCGTCGTAGAATCCGTACGTCTGTCCCTAGCCATCCTGTATTGACACTCAACCAATACCCCCCGGACAGTTTCCCATCCTCCTCTATCTTTCAGTAAGCCCATAGCCAAACTCGTACAACCCCTTATACTTAGCGCCCGTACCCGGCGCCCAGCGAACTCTCCAACGGTTTCGCCGTGAACCCGAAATCCAGCGCGAAAAAGACACCAAGATCTACAGGTCTCTTATGAATCGTGTTCGAGACCAACTAGACGCTGGTGCCGCCCAGCCCTCCATTGCGAAACGGGGTCTGGAAAAACACGTCGCTTTTGAAGTAAGTGATTTGGAGACGGCTTATGCCCTCTCGGCGCCGTTCTCTGCTGGGGCCAGGACAATTTCCAATCGCTCCGCTAGGGATTCTCCACAGTGTAATCTCCGATGACGTCTACGAGGATATGTTCATCCTCAAAGGGGGTACTGTAATTTCCAACATCCAGTACGTTCTTTGCAAAATGTCCTTTTTCCGATCTTATTGACGGATTGGGCCCCACTTTCAAGATGAAACGGTTAGGACTTTACAATCAATGATCGTTGCTCGTGTCTGATTCTGATCAGGTCTTCCCGGAGCCCAATGTCTTTCGCCCAGAACGGTTTATTGACACAAATTATGGCAATCAATTTCGCAACTCGACATTCCCACTCGTCTTTGGCAGTGCACCTCTCCAGGTCTGTCGCTCAAAATTCATTGACCATCCTCACAATTTTATTACCTCAATGAACGCTTAACTCTTGTTAGAACTGTATGGGCTTTCAACGTCCTACTGCCCATTGATTCTTCGACCAGCAAACCTAATTCACTGTCTGCAGACGATTTTGTTGTGGGTCCGGACATTCGTCCTCGACCATTTGAGTATCCCATGTCGTTGAGGAATGATAGCGTGCGGGCTTTAATTTTATAGCCAAGCGAAGGCGGAGAATACACCCTCCGTATGATTTTCATAAATATCTTCTTGAAATTTCTGTCTGAATATGGATCATGAGATATAAACTACAGTATGGAAGCCCGATGAAATCTCTATGCTATTGTTTTTGAATCCACAAGTAAACGGCTTGCTATTCCTATCACCAAAAGGGTTCGTTAGTCTCGTTCCCGACGTTATAGGGCAGGATCAAGCGCTGTCCAGGAGGGAGATAAGATCCCATCAGCGGACTTTAAAGTCGGAGGCAAAAAAATGAGAAAATTCACGCGCAAGATCCTGCCCTATAACGTCTGGTGCATTTTGATAGGAAGGGGTAGGCTCGTGTGACAGGCTCGTAACACACCTCATCCTCAAGAAGTCCTGCATCCCAAATCATCTCTACAACTTTCATGTCAGCTCCAAATTTATTTCTGAGATTTATAGCATGCTTTATCATCAATAAAGTATAAAATAACTGAGCTCTACACCTTAGCTTCATTGTGAGCAAATAATCATAGTTGAAGGAGAGTACAAGCCTTCTGAAAGGTTAGTGGTGCAGGAAACAAACTCAGTCTTTCAAAAGTAGCTTGCAAAAATAAAAGCTAATATTCTCTTCAATCCTATGTACAAATCAATGACAAGGGACAGCATTTTGCACTTCACAGGACCCAGTTTTGTGCATTGGATAAGGCAAAAGATGTTATCTACTTGTGCAACATCCCTACAGTCCAAAGCAGGAAACTTGCACATCCTCAGTTCCATAAGGCCAAAACATATAGTCTACATGGTTTCCAAACCATTAGGCAGGTCCACACCAGTCTCAGAAATTTATTAGTAAAATATGTGGTTGTGTGATCAGCATTTGATTTTGACCAAGTAGCATGCCTCTTCAAGAGAAAAAAAATAAACAACTGTTCAGATCCAATCAAGGTAGTGTAATAAAGTCATTTTCAGAAAGAACTTTGAAGTTGGTGGTATTATTTCGTCGCCTGAGTAGGGGGAGGAATGGTGTGAACAAAAGTGACCACCGTGACGTTGTCACACGAGCCTACCCCTACTGATCAAATTGCACCAGATGTAGTAGAGAGGTCCTGTGTTCGTGTTTCGTTCGCTTTTTTTGCCTCCGACTTTAAACTCCGCGGACCGCCGGACCGGACCTCTCTACACATCTGGAGCCGAGATTAAGGGTTCGTTAGAACGCGCATACTAGTAGCTGATGGGGGGGAAAAAGAGCTATTACTTAACACTCAACCTCAAAACTATCTAAAACCCAATCCGCTCCTGCTTTTAATAGACCGACGCACCCCGCAACCCCTGGCACTATGCCAATTGCTACAACGAACAAAGAGAGGAGACCTTTCCCCCCGAATGCCACCACGCCTTCCAGCTTTGATGGGGTTTCAGGTGTTGCATCCGGGTCTGATTTACCATCCCCAAACGCATCTTTCCAGAACGATTCTTTCCAGAAGCACTGAATGATGTAGACAGCCAGGACGGTCCACCAAATCGCGATAACAATTCCGAGGACTCCAAGAAGACCAATTCCGACGCGGATGGATACATCGTAGACAACTTTGGAGACTTAGTATTGTGAGTGAAACTTTCTGAATTCAAAGCGGGGGTTTGCTAACGTACTGGGTCGACGATCCTTCACGTTTAGCTTGAAATTATCTTGCGCTTCGACTCCAGACTCCGTGAGCAGCGGATTGTATACGTCCATGGTGGGGGTCGTGGTGAGACAGTGGTCAACATTTCGCTTGTTTCAGAGAAGAGGAGTCTACATCTCTGGATGCCGGGCCGCGAAACTCGGCATGACCAGATACAAACAACTTGAATGCAGAGGACGAAGTTAACGATGAGGCGGCCAATTGTCTCCTTGGAACAACTGGTGTTGGTATTGGAACAACTTCGTATTATTATTATCAAGATCAGAACTTGACTTTCCTGCGTTATATTCCCAACTGGCCCTCTGCAAGAATCATGGCGAGATCTATCCCTTTTGCGCGGCAATGTCATATTGAAGATGGGGATGGAAGTAGCAATGCAGTAGTTGTAAGCTTCGGACAGCGCTTCAGAATTTATGGAACTGGGTAATGTGGTCCTTCTCATCTTTGGCGAGGAACATGAGAGGGTCGGAAGGGTTATAGGGTGTGTCCACCTCGATGAATATATCTGTTTGGTCCGGAAACCGGCCTACGTAGCTTCCCCACGGGCACTTGAATCACCTTGTACGACCGCCCGATTTTTTGAGCCCAGATCGTCAACGAGCTTTTGTCTCGTAATGAGCGTCTTCTCTCGCCGCCAATGATGGCCTTCAGCTGTCGGAGCAACTACATAGGCCAATATGGTTGACTGCTGCGAGGATTGGGCTAGAAGGCACTGCGAGTTCATTGAAAGTGAGTCACCCCCGTGGCCTGACAGGTTCTTGCCAGCAGGTTAGTCTTGCTGCCCACCGCGCAGAGCTAGGGGTCATGGAGTGCGGAGACGAAATTCATGGGGTGGGGCACCCGGAGGCAAGGGCTGGAGGGTTTCAGAGCAATGACGACGTTCAGGATTGTGTCCAATCGTAAACATTCGCACTCCAAGTTGCCGAATACGTCAGAGGGAATCAGCAAGAGCTGGCGAAAAGAGGCCGACATGTTTTGGGAGTACTGGTGTTTTGAGAAACTTGCTGGCTCGTCGTTTGGATTTGACGGTAAACACGGAATTCATGGATGACTTCGCAGTTGTCGAGGGCTTGGAAATCATTCGCCGTCGCTCTGCCAGTGACAAGTTCCAACATTCCTATGTTAGGTCTGAACAAATGGAAGGATCCCCTTGGTCATGAATCGTCAGTTTGTGCTGGCAGTAATGGGCTGAGGTTTGTCACTCACTTGTGGGATAGATGGTTGGGGAGTTGAAACCATCTCTCTCAACCGTGTCATAAGCGGCTGACCACAGGTTCACGCTAGGTCATGCAAGCACATACAAAAAGGAGCGAAACAGGGATGCGGGGATAGAGAACTTGAAAGACGGCATGGATCGCAGCGAAAGTACGTTTGTTATTGGTTTGTCACCGCGCAAATTTTCTCTCGTCATAACACTCGCAAACTCTCTTCGCCCTACAAATTGTCCAGACCGCTGCCGAGGCAACTGACCTTCTAGCTTCAATGGGTGGGAATACAGCCTCTCGGATGAACTAGTTGGCAGACCAGAATCAGGACGAAAGTTTGGGAGACATGGGCCAATGAGTTCCTTCAAGTTGATCCTCCTCATGGCATCGCATGGCGACGGTGGCAAGACTTGAATCCTATGACGGGCCCCCATTTACGATATCCCAGGTCTCCGTCATGCAGTTCTCGATTTGTGTCAGCCTCTTCTGACCGGTGTAGACAGCGCCCGCAGCCTGGTGGGGAATTATCGATTATCAATCATGCCTGGGATCCACCACTCGGGATGGGCAGTGACCGCGAAGGACGACTGTAACCTCTTCGGCACCTTTTTTTGCTGAGGACCAGCTGATCATTACAATTCGTGGTGTGTTTTTTATCCCCATGCAATGTCTGTAACAAGATTTATCTTTGGGGATGTGATTTATCGCTGGCATGCAGCCATTCGTCACATCAACAGCACCTCCCCTGCTAGCGAGGGCGAGCTTTAAACGAGCGACAGTGGTGAGGCTACGTGGCTTCAAGGCGATAGCCATCTGCTTCATTGTATTCTTTGGCGACCTATGGCAGACGGTGAGTGGGAAAAATATTCATTTGTTTGTTATTTAGAATATGACGAACTGATCTCAGGCTGTAGGTCATAAGGAAGTCATCTATTGAGTCTCTTCAGACGTCTCTTCGTTTGTGCGATGCGAGATACCCGTGATGAACCTTGCTTTCTGGTGACTAAAACATCTGCATGACGGTACAGTCGCGGACCACATGGGTCAGGTTGCGGTGACTTTCTTCAAGCTGGTTTGCCCCCCGCCCAAACCTTCGATCCCTTGCAAACCAGCGGACTTCCTGGCCGATTTAACGTGTTCTTCCTTTCATTCACAAGACTTGGCTCAAATTTCTATCGGCATTATGAGTTCACAGTGACGGAGGGGCTGTATATTTCCCTTTACCTTGATATGTTCCCCTATCTGCGTTGTCTTCCTCGAGCGCCTTCCGCTTCGTTCTTGAGTATTCGCTTCTCAGATGCTTGCTCTCAATGGTGTCCCCGTAGACTTCCTGCGCTTTGCTTTTCGTCGTCCATGACCTTCCCGAACCTCCATTCCGAGGTCTACGTTTCATAAAGCGGCCTCATATATCTTCCCAGCTCCGAATTCTGTGTGCACGATTTGCCAGGTCTTCGTCTTCTTGGTCTTACCGTGTCTTCCTTTCGACAGCTGATCATGTAGAAGCGTTACTTTTGTGTCTCGTTCGTTTCAGCTCTGCAAGTAGAAGCGTTCGAAGCGAGGATGCGAGTTATCGCCTCTTGCCTAAGCGTCTTGCGCGGTTGTGGGCGTACAGTTCTTCTCCATCGATGAGGTTCATAAGTTTTGAGTCTGTACCTGAGGCCTGAATCGTTACGCCATGCGACTGATGAGTTATCATCTTACCACTCTGGGCATGTGACTGGCTATGGGACATGGCTACGGGCTCTGAAAAATCATCTGTGGCTAAGATCTCCTAGCGAGACATGGTGGAAGGGTCAAGGATATTTGGAAGCTTTGTGCGATAGGCGGAGTGGAGCTTAAAGTGAGTCTTGGCAATGTTAGAAGATAGACATGGGATTAATGCCAGGAATGGTGATATTGTTAGATCACCCAGGTCCCCGTGTTGGGGCTTCCAGGCCGCCTGTAGAAGGATCGCTGCCGCTCCCAACTCTCACGGCGTTTGGTTGGGAATTCTATGTCTTCGCGGGCCGTTGACCTAACAGTCATTGGTCGGCTATATCTACTTCCTCTGTCGTGAAAAGATCTCTAGCGGAGCTCCGACTCAGGTTCGTATCTATTTTCCCTTCCCCTTCTCCTCTCTGACAAGATATCCGCTCAAAGAACAATACCAGGAACGTACACTGGAGAAGACACCCCAGCACTTTGCTGCCACGTAACTCTGCTTTCAGCAACATTTTAGCGCGGGGATGAACAGCAGGGTGAATTGCATGAGCAGATGTGAGACGTTCTTTCCCCGGTCTTCGCGAGTCAGGAAAACTGTACTCACGCTTGCACAGGATCTAGTATAGGGTTCACCCTGATGGCCGTTCGATGTTACGAATTTATCCCTTCAAAATTGCGCCCAAATACTGGTACACTGCGGCTTCGGCTGAGACCCCTGGTTTTTACAAAGAGTCCGTTTACTAGAAAAATAAAAAATGCTACCCAATTCTTTGATGCTTATTCACCCGAATCACATCTCCATCATCTTCTCCACCCCCTTCATCTGGCTGAAATCCTCGTTTTGTCATTGACAAAACGTTTTGCATGACGCGTGAATCGGATCGGCGTGCTGCCTTGATCTCACGGAGAATCTTTTTCAGCCCGCTGTGACTCTCTTTTACCATTTGTTGGACTCGATGATCTGATTCTTTCAGATAGTTTGAAGAGAGGATGTCATCGAGCTTATCGACCTCGCAGTCGATGCGTAACTGTAAGGACAACGTATTCCTCTCCTCTGTCAAGAGGTCTTCCTGCAGCTCTGCGAGAGGCTCAAGCGTTCGGCGAATTTGAAAAATTGACAACGTACTTTGGATCCTGCCTTGTAGTTGCGCAGTTTGTTGCTCATGCATCTCCTTCTTGGCATACCGTGCGTCAATGTTTCGACGTAGGGCATTCAGCTCATGGCGCAGCTGTGATACCTCTTCCATAGCTCTCTGCTTTGCCTTGCGCTCCTTCATCAGCGTCTCCCGCTCCTTCGTCAGTGTCTCCTGCTCCTTCATCAGCGTCTCCCACTCTGTCGTCGACCTCTCGTTGGCACTCCCACCCACCTCTCTTCCAACGTTTCGACCGTGCTGCTGGCTTGATGTAGAGACCTCGGCTTGTGTCGCGCCCGAGCGGTTGAAACCTTCAAGCGTAGATTGATGTGACGGCGGGGCTTTGACCAGGGAGCAGGACATTTTTTGCCTTGTGCAGCGGTCGCAACTCTTGCGAGTGGCGGTCGTACTCTGGCATTGGGCACCGCTAGAAGTGCAGCGGGAACATGCTAACTTCTGTATCTGTAATTCAGTATTGATCCTTTACAAATGAAAGCAGGAACTTACCTCTTTCATTTAAACGAGGACGCTTCCTGGGTTGTTGACCAAGAGGAACACCGAATTAGTATTGGTACAGGGTGGCATGGATTCCCAACAAAGGGGTACAGGGTCGCAATAGAATGTTCTTTGTGGTGCCACTCAATGATTCAGTGAGATACCCTCAGTCGTTATTATCAAAAAAAATGAGAGGGAAAGCAATTACTTGTCCAAAAGGACCGTCCATGTGGCTCATCGTTCGAACAAAAACTGAAAAGGTAGGATTTCTTCAGAAGGCAGCAGAAGGGCAAAGAGTGAAAGCAGATAACATGTGCAAATAGTACGTTGCAGATGACGTAAGGTCAGATAAGAGGCGCATCGGGCTCTTGTCACCACTTCGCGGAGTGGCAAATTCAAGCTTCACCCAAAACCACATTCCAAGTTTGCGCACTGCATCAGGTTGAGCGACATCACAAGACTGTACACCCAACTCAAGGCTTATCGGATTCACCTCGAATATCTGATTATCGCGATAATAATAAATAGGCCTGGAAGGAAAAACTTCCGTTCAAATAGGAAGGAAGTATGTACCAAAGATACTACGCACCCAATCTACTCAATCAAATTTACGCAACGCGCGCAGCCTTAGCGCCCTTCGTAGGCCCTTCTTCGTCCTCCTCGTCCACACTTATTTCCCGCTTCGTTATAGGCAGGATCCTTTGAATGATATTTGATCGTGGAGGTCGTGCCGCCTTGCACTCGCGCACGATTTGCCGCAGACCGCGGTGGCTTTCTTCAAGCATCAATCGAACCTTCTGATCGGAGTCCTTCAAGTGCTCAGAAGCCAGAAGTTCTTCTAGTTTGTCGACCTCGGCGTCGACGCGTAATTGGCAAAACAGCATATTTTTATCTTCAATGGAGGCAAGATTTTCTTCCAGTTCTGTCAAATAAAAGATTGTGAGTGGTCGCGAGGCCCTGGTATTTACGAAGTTGAATTGACCTTTGATTTCTTTATCCTTGATCTTCGTGGTTTTCTCATAAGCCGATTTCTGGACCGCCAAGTCCCTTTGTAACCTCTCTACGTCGACACGTAGGTTCGACACCCCAGCTTCTGCACTTATCCTCTTTTGGTATTCATGCGTAATCTCGACGCGCAGCCGGTATAAATCTCTCTCAGCTGCTTCCCTGGCATCCTCCGCCTTCTTCTCCTTCTCACAACTCCGGCGGTACCACCTCTCCAGCGTCCTGATCGTAGCTAGTCCTTCATCCCGCTCCGAATTAGCCTTCTCGACGAGTGCTCTTAATTCTGAAATGTTGTCGATGGGATCTTGAGCGGGTTGTACGACGCCTGACTCAAATTCTGATGGGCGCGCATCGTTTTCCGGTGTCACTGGATCAGGTTGACGCAGATCGGAGGGGTCGCATGGCTCCACCTGTAATAGTCAGACGCACCTGTTCGTTTACAAAAATCGCTCAAACCCACCTTGGCTTCCACCGGACTCTCGACGATGTTGGGGCTACTCTCATGTGGGTTCCATTGGCTCTGACTCTTACCTGGAGTCGGAAATAATTCTGCAAAAACCTTCTCCGCCTCCGCTACAGCCTCTTCCCGTGTCGCCTCTTTTTCCTTCCTATCAATTAATTTCGTGCATTCGCCCTTCCCCCTGTGCTTTGTCAATGTAACAAGAGATCTCTTGCTCGTCAGAGGAAGGTGTTGGTAGCATAGATCACAACAAATTAATTCTCGATCCGTTCCCCTTTCTTGAAATATCTGGAGGAGTATAGGTTCCGACCCCTCGTCGACTTGGAACTGTAGATGTTCGATGGGTAACTTTGGGATGGCATCGTATGTCTTGTGTGCGCGAGGCATAATAAAGAGACAGATCAAGTTGGTCACTGGGTGGCAGGCGGGTCAGAAGATTCATGGGGTATATTTAAAGGAAAGCGATGTCGAAGGAAAATGCCGAGACGACGTGACAGAGTGGGAACGGGGTGATCAGGCAGGCGGTGCTTTGAGAAGCGTCCCACACAGTCAAAGAGTGTTCTTTCCTCATTCGGTTGTTCCTGATAACACCTGACCAGAGATACGCCGCTTTATGACCATTCCCTGAGTTGTCCAAGCGACAACACACCGACGATGATTGGCCTGTACGTTATCCTAGCTCTCAGGTCTCGGTTAATTTCCGAAGGTTTTGTTGCACCCTGCATTTCATCTAATTGGTGACCCTATGGATAATAAGTCATCATACAAAAGAAATTTATTCAGACGATTTAATGTATACAAATTTTATTTTACACTGCAGCCAAAGTATTCTTTGTCGGGAACGAAAATCTTTGGGGCGCGGAAGTTGAGAGGAAGGGGAAAACTCTGAAATGTGGGGGCATTGGGGCAAGGGTTCACGGAATGTCGTAAAATCTAATCGTGCACTTCGTCGCTGAGCTTCTGGTGTGTTACCCGCAAGCCCGGGCCCTCACCATCATGAATTAACGAGTTGAAGATTGCAACAACTCCTGTCAGTAGCAACCAAAGTCGGACACTGAGCACAAAAACCCCAACTTTGGATTGTAATCAATCGATTGCAATTTTAGGCTAATTGGCAGCACCCATGGTACATACAAATGTTGTGAAACGTCTGGTCGAAAACGTCCTGATTTTCGTGCCAGAACCCTGGCGAAGAAAGTTGAACGAATTGTGGACGGACGTTGTAAGATTACTCTAATTTTTATCACTGTATAGCGAATAAATCGCATTGTCCTGCACACTTTTTTATTACATACGAGCCAAAATAATCCTAGTCTGCATCTAGACGTTTCTTTCCAGAAGAGTTGAGGCGTTGACGTTTCGGCGTCACCAACTTGTCATCCGCTATCTTCGGCATCGCACACAACAAGCGCAAATATGTAATGATCCGTTGATACTAATAGGCTGCCGCCTTCCGTACATCATTGCTTCGCGGCTAGTGGCGAAAATGATTTTTGTCGATGTTGCCCGTCGCTACTCACCATCAAGCGTTCAATGACACAGCCGGGTCAACGACACAAAACACTCTTGTTGCATCAGTTTTTCTCAAACTCATAGAAGATATTCAAGCACATACTACAGTCATCCACCCCTTAATGATACGCCACCCCTATTTGATACACTTTTGACTAGCCAATATCTCGCTCAATACTAGACCGATTTTTACGAAACAAGTTGTAACAAGTAGTACAAACTCATATCTACCACTGTACATAATTTGGATGCAATTGAGGCAGAATTGGCAAAGCTGTGGAGCATACAAAATGGATTGTTTTTCGGAAATAGCTAAATACAGTCACACCCCTCAATGATACACCCATAATCTTAATTTTTCTTTGTGAAATGTGGGTCAAACATTCTGAAATTTGGTACAGTGATAGAAGGGAATTTATCTGAGATTTTCATGTAGTTTTTGTAGAGAAAGGTTGTGCTCAAATCTGTTGAAGCTAATTTCTCATTTTGGGTGTATCATTAGCAGGTGGATGACTGTAAGTACGCTGAGTACATTCCTGGTTTTGTTGGAGTTCAAGTTTTGAGAGCTCCATTCATTGGGTTTCATGCGGGTTGATGAATTCTATATATTTGTGGTCCGCAGCCACAGCACAATGCAAGGAACACTCGTAGCATTTATCTAAGGAGATAGGGTTTGTAAGGCCTATGAGTTGCCTATGAGAGGGCGAAAGAGGTGAAACGGCATTGAGCGTTCTTATGTGACGAGTTTTGTGTCACACCGGATTACGTCAGGCACAAACTTAAAAAAAGGCTCAACCTCTGCTCAATCTCTGCTCGGAAACTCCAACGAGAAAGAAATACCAAGGATGGCCTCCTCATCCGTGTCGCCCTCTATCGTCATGAACAAGACAAGACAGTCAATGGAAAGCACCTCAGCCTGCGGAAAGTCTGCCTCGTTTGAGGGACGTGCGCTCGAGGTAGGCTGGTGCTACTTCTCCTCATGACTGGCGTCTTTTTGGCGATCCCGTGGCAACACGGCCCGTACCATACACATACACAGGGACCCCGGCCGGGCACGGACCTCCTTTCCTGTAGCGATCAGAGTATTTTGACAACTCTCTCAATCGGTACCATTAAGATCAACGTGAACGCGGGTCAACTCATCCATGACAAGGCCCAGCCCATTCCACCCAGTGGGCGCATATGAACTCGGGTGATCGGCTTCCGGCGGAGTGGCGGGACGATTAACAGTGAGAGCCTGTCATCTGTTAGGACCTTCTCTCTTTGTTCACAGAAAAGTTACATCACTGATTATTAGTAGACCGCAGCATAGAGGAATCCGAGATGCAAAAAATTGTGGTGTCATGGATTCCAACGTAAAGATATAATTATCTTTTTCCCACTGGCCGCCTTTGGATCATGTCATCGATATCGCCTTCCAGCCGCGTATGTTTTCTTATGCAGCTGCTTTCCACCGGAGACAGTACTAATACGGCCCTGTCCGCGACCTGACTAGACTCATTCGGATCCATGCGTAGGACGATTGGTTCCAATCAATCCAGCCCCCGTTGATATCGCTCGTTGCACATCTCCGCGTTTTATTACTCAAAAATCTCTTGACGCACCATTTCCCCAGGGAGATTACACGCCCAGACTTTGATGCCTCCCTGCTTGCCCGCATCGCATATCCCGACTGCTAGGTCATCGCGACGTAGCCGTTTCAGCATGGGCCATGCTAGCAGGAGCCAGCCATGCTCGTCACCGTCAATGGCTACAACGGAGTGCGGCCACCACATGCATACCTCACATCCCGGAACACATCGAGTCTTCACCACCTTCAAGCCATTTCCCCCGTACCTTGGACACGCGTCAGTTTACGTTATTCTGAATATTCAGCGCAAACTTTACTGTTAGCGCTGGGAATAGATTAAGATATGATATGGTGGAGTTTTGCGAACCCACTCTGGCGCCGGCTTAATACGGTTCACGCCGAGATTGAGGTTTGGACTGTCGGCGAGAAGCCTCTAAAAGGATATCGGGCATGGGCACTGCCGGCTGCAATCGTCGATCTCCTACGAGACTGTCGGAGTTGCTGGTTTATGAATTTTCACTCTTCTGCTTCCAGTCAAACGGAAGGTGATGGGGCGAAGTCTTACTCCCCCCCTTTCTCGCACTTGATTAAAACTATCTCACCCTCCTATAATTTCCACCGAAATAGATCACTGGGACATATGGTTCCCCATCTTGCGAAGGTAGTCCCTTTGCCCTGAGCTGTCTACACCGACTTGGAAGCAAGTTCGGAACCAAATTAATTGGTCCGTGGTCCAGACAACCCTGGGGCCAGCTGGGGCCTCGTCTCTCGGTCGGAAAGATAAAATGGACGATCTTGGCGTCTTATGAATGTCTCCTTGCACTCATAAAAAACTCATCATTACTCGATTCCGCTCTGATTTTTCGGAGTAATCTGCTTCATTTCGATCCGCTCAGCCCCATTTTGATATGCTTGTGAGCAGAAAATATTCTCCTCGTTGATGAGACCTCCTGAGGGCTATGGTGGGCGTTACGGCGCAATCCGTCACAAAGTGTTGTCATCAGATGGTCTTAGGAACAAATGGCTGTTTCTCCGTCTTCCTCTTTCCTACGTCGTCCTCTCGCTCTCTTCCGCAGCCATCTCGCAACGCCTGCGGGTCGGCCCAACAGCCTACAACAGGATCCTCAGCCCGAGGCTCTTCTTTTAATACTCTTGAAGTCGATTACTTTCACTTCCCCAACTCCTTGTGGTTCAAATTGAGACCACAGGCACAAATGCTCGTCCGACTTGGAGACTCCAATAGATGAGCTAACCTTATACCTGGTGGGAGAAGGACATGGTTTTGTGATGGTCGCCGTTGTCGTTTTCCCTCTGCTCCGCTAGCGTTTAAAGCTGCCAGTGGTTTTATAATTAAGGTGAATCGGCCTCCCTGTGAATCCTATCTTCCTTCCATTTACTGACCTTGTGCCAAGAGTTGATAACGTCCTTGGTTACCGTCGTTGTATTTCCGATAGGACAGGCCTCCAGTAAGATGGCGCAGAGGGCCAGGTTGGCTTGGTTTTTTTTTACGTTAGGCTCACCGTATTTTCTGCATTATCAGGAACAATGGCAAAGTGGAGGGGTGTTCTCAATGAAAAACAACTTGGGATCGCTATGGCAGACAATATCTACATCGGCGTTCTGCACATTTCGGGCAAATGATTGGCGACTGAGTTGGCACATGGCACACGCGAGATCTGGCGTCCAGTCAACTCCTTCCCACTTTCAGCACTGTCCCAGGCTTAAACGACGGGATCACCTTGATCACATTCGTCACCGCCAAGTTGGGCATCCTCTGAGTCTGGCTGCAGAGGAAAGAATGATATGATGTCAGCCGCACCTTCTCCCCATTCATCACAAAAAAAAATTATTTACAACGTTTCAAGATTACGCCATTAGCCCTGCCCATTTTGACGTTCACTGCGTCAACGCCTACGCCGAGGTCCTTCATAAATCTGGATGGGCCTCGTGGTCTCCGGCGCGTCTTTGGGTGCTCAATGATTCTCGTAGACGTCTCGGGCAACTTGTGTCACCGTTCCATGCTCAAACTACGCCGCGACGGCCATGGCCAAAAAAACCTTCATGCGGTCACGATCAGGCAGCCGCACTTTCAAGTAATTCAGTGCATTTCCAGGCGCCCAGGAGCTTGTAGGTTTCCTGGTGTGGTGTCGTGATGATCGGCCCTCTTATGGAGCAGTTAATACTTCTTTTTTCAGCGATTGCGCCGATGCCGCTTGTATTTCGTTAAAATGGGGAGCTGCGGCGCGTTTTGAAATGGCTACGGGGAATTGGATACAGGATTCGGCTACATGGAATTTCTACTTTCGTCCGGGCGCCTTCTTTTCCGTAGGTTTTGATGTTTTCCTTCCTTCCTCCCCCTCTTATTCGTTTCCATCAGGTTGTTCGCTCTCTTTGGGATAAAGACATCTTTTTGATAGATACGATATCTCGATATTGATATAAAACTGCTCCAAATTACTGCCAGCGTTGATGCGAAACTGAGCGTTGCTAAGGTTGGCACTCGTCTCTGAAAGAATGGAAGATGCTAGTACAAGGCGTTAGGATAGCGGTCGCCGTGAAAATCAACCTTCAATCTACCAAATTCTTGAATAAGCCCGGACAATTGCAGTTCTATGTTCAAGTTCTATACACGCAGGTGAAGGTTGAAATTTCGGAACTTCATCCCGTCACGGGAGAAGAACTGTGCCCCTTGAGGAAGTTTACCCTGGTCTCGACAATCATCTTCGTATACGTCGACAGACGTTCAATCACCGAAATTCTTATTGTTTTGGAATAACTGACGGATGTCGAGTCCCGAAAGCTCTGGCAGTTGAGGGAGAGTTCCGGAAAAATCGTCTGAATCAATACCGAAACCTGGTGATCTCATACGTGTGATTCGTGGCCATCCTTCGGTCGGGGTCTGAACAGGTGACTCGAGAGGCGCCATAAGTTCCAATGACGCCTTTTGGGTGAGATTATTATAAGCAGAAAGCCGCCCCAAGATTGGAAGTTCGAGGAGAAAATGCGTCGGCGTCTTCAGCTTGCCAAATTGAAATAACTTTTCAATGGTTCTCGGCTTGCAAAGCAACCTTCAATATTCCCGGTTCCTTTCGTATGTCTTGTGTTCCGATAATTGAATGGACAGTGGGTATTCTCTGGAGCGCGCAAGGCAAATCCTGAGGAGTTTGCACGCTTGCCTGATCCATCGCTTGGTTGATTGTTTTTCGCAAAAGCCAAGTGTAACGAATAACCGCGCCGTTTCTCTCCACAGTTTACGGATGTAGGCAAGCTGCCAGGAAAAACCTGAAGTCGCCGAGATGGTGACACAGTCAGGACTCAGGTGAAACTAGAGGCGAAACGATCGAGAAGATCTCTAGCAAGACATCGGTCGGAGGTCAATGACCACTGGAAGGTGAAAAAATCTGTTTCTGCAGTGCAAGAAAAGACTTGATCGCTTGACGTTAACTTTTCGGGCACGGTTTTGCTTTAGTTAGTGACAAGTTATGCCGCCGGACAATCTCCTCGTTCAGCCACTCCAGTTCCAAATTCGCGTGGGCGATGTCTTTCTGGATAGCTTCAACGTCACCTTCTTATGCACTGGCAAGGAAGGGAAGTTTGAAAGACCCAATTCTTCGTCGGTCGTACGGTGGTCGTAGGCGAACCTGGTGTAGAGTCACGTGATGTACTCAATCCCAACCGTCCTTTGTAAACACAAATCCTTTCCTCAACTCATCTTTCTTAGAAGTGGCGATATTACGCCTTCGGCGGCCAGGTGTTTGGTCGTTCAAGAATCCTGCAGTCATTTTCGTTGTCTACCTCTCAGTGGTCAGGTTTTATGTGAGGGCTACACTTGAACCTTGCCACTGGTGAAAGAGATGACTTTGAGATGACTCGGGGTTGGCGCGGTGGTCGTTGGCTGGCGATGGATCCACCGGGGCTTGTAGCAACCTGCTTCGTTTTCACGCCGCTTATATCCGTCCTTTTGCACGGGAAAGCCGAAAAGCCTGGGGCAAAAACGGGCCATGAAAAGCATTGGTTGCTCGAAAAGCTGGAAAAGCTTCATGTCTTGGAGAAACCCAGAATTGCCCTGATTTCGCCATCCCTCATGATACTGACGCGACCTATCGTGATGTTCAAGGAGTCTCCATCCACGTGTAAGCATTGTAATTACCACTTTGGCAAGCTGACTCACTTCTCCCGCAAATCTCCTCCTCGTTTACAGTTGCCTTTCTATCCTGCTTTTCGCCCTCCCCTCCCCCCACAGGGACATTCGAGGCTTCAACGGCGGCGTTTTCCCTCAGCATCATGCTGGGCCTTCTACAGCCTTGTCCCTAGTTTCCGTGTAGGAGGAACTCTGCAACGAAGCGACAACAAACGGCACATCTCCAAAACAAGTCTTTCCTATAAAGGCAGATTCCTTGTACGTTCTCTCCCTATCTGTCATTCGTCGTCAAGCCCGATCTCATTCATGAAATCCTAGTGCCATACCTAGAACCCATGTTCCCCTTCATGAGTGTCCACGCCCAGGTAGACTGAATGGCCGTTCAATGGCGAACCCCACCATCCGTTTCACCTAGCTCGACCATTGATGAGTGGTATAAGGCTACCCTGGTCCAGCTATGGAGGCCAAGACCCCCACGAGGCTGGAGATTGGAGCGGTCAAGGATGAACCCAGTCACTATAACTTGCGTTCCGCGGCCGACTACGTTTCAGATCTCGACTTTGTTTCGAAATACCACCGGTACTACCAATCCTTGTAGGATCCCGTCGTCTCAGGCAGCAGGAACATAACTTATGCAATAACGATACGGGCATACTAACGAGAGGCGTGGTATGATGTCAAGAGCCATAGGAGCAAGAAAAAGTAGTACATTTGGTCCGAAGTATAGATAGCAAGAAGTACGAAATATATTGATTACAAGAAACGAAAGCAACCCATCACCCCCGCAAGAATCAGAGTTCAAGGTATAAATAAGCGCGAGCTGGATGCGAAACTGACCCATCTATACACCCCCCACCCTCATCGCAAGGCCCTTGATGTCTATGACACACGTTGGACCTTTGACCTTCGCCCATCTCCATCCACTTCTACCACCTCGCCCCCATACTCCTCAAGCTCTCTCTTTTTGGCAAAGAACGGCTTCTGATCTATAGAAGAACCCAGGATCCGACGAGCCTTGCAAGCCTCGACGACCCTCTCCAGTTTCTGCACGCTTCCTTGGATTCGGCGGCCCTCTTCGGAATCTTTGAGGGTCCCCGCTATCATGCGGAGCTTATACACCTCATCGTCGATGCGGACTTGGAGGGAGAGCATGCTCTCGTCGAGGTCCTCTCGGAGGTCTACGCAAAAAACAATACTGTTAGTCCAGATGGACCGAAAAAAACTCGGGTCACACCTACCGGTCACCAGACCATCAGCAACCTCAAGCTTCTCCTTCAACTCCACAAATTCCTGATCCCTCGTCTCTCTCTCCGAGTCGTTTGACTCCGTTGCCTCCTGAAGTTTCTCGACCTCCTTCGTGAGCTTCTTCACCGCCTCCTCCAACCGCTCCTTCGCTTCCTTCTCCGTTAGGTAGAGATCCTCCGCCCGTTTGAGCCCCCGCCGTTTTGAATCTGCTTCGGCCTTCTTCTCCCCCTCTATCTTCCGGATGACCGCATCTTTGCACCTGGCTTCGTGCTCCAGCTCAGCACCTCTGCGCAGTGCATCGTCTCGATCAGCTTTAGCCTCCGCGAGCAGCGCTTGAAGTTCAATGATTTTGATTTGTTCCTCTTGGAGCTCAGAGCTTGGCGCAGGTGGTGCACTGGGAGGTTCTGATAACGTCTCATCCTCCTCCTGTTAGGCAGAATTCAGACCATCAGACTCCGGTTGATCGATATGAAAGAGTGGTCTTTTGCTTACCTCGTCCGGTTCATCAGCTTGAGGAGGTGTTTTATACAGCTCCATTATCGAATTGGGGAGAAGATACGAACATCTGGTCTTTCTCTTGATACATCGTTGACACCTATAGGCGTATATGCCTTTTGGCATGATGCATTGAACCTTCTCAACAGCACATCTTGCACAAGGTCCCTGCAGCATTCGGTGAGCGCCAATGATCCAAATTGCTGCTATCATACTTACCTTTGCCAATTCAGTTTTAAACCACTGCTGTTTGGCCTCCTTCAGATCTTCCCACTCCTTTGCTTCTGGGACCGGCGGCGTCTGCGACAAGTGAAGGGCGCTTCGTCCATCATCCGTCCAACTATAATCTACCTAGAAAACTTACTTCATTCGCTGGATCTCCAGAGTCGGGTTCTCCACCTTTGGGATCTGTCTTTCGCGATGCTGACCTCGAATGGGGAAGGATATAGGAGCACGATTGCTTTTTTGAAGAACATCGTTCACATGCGTAGGCATCCCCAGGGACGCATTCGATACTCTCCGTACCACATCTTTGGCACGGGCCCTACAGTAACTAATAAGCACCCATATGTAAAAACAGGTATAAGAGTGTTGAGGAGCTTACCTCGGCTTTTTTTTCCAGAAACCACTGCAGCCTTGGGTCTGTGGCACCTTCAGAACCTCCTTCTTCCCTTGGCCCTTGGGTGGCGGCTCTTACCATGGGAGTCCTATCCCTCAAAACCATTGAAGATCTTGAGGACTTTGGGGTTGGAGTCGCGTTAGTTTGTGGATTTCCTTCGGGGGGCGCACTCATTGAGGTAGGATCGTTTCTAGGCCTTCCAGCTCTCCTCTTCACGGGCGCCGAGACGCTCGTAGCAGAAAGCTCACTGCCCAACGTCGGCGGCAGCTGAGATGTGGCCGCTTCATCAACAGCAGACCCTGAGGTAGAACTTGCTGTCGGCCTTTGGCTCTGGGGCATTGTGTTGAACGTGTAAAAAGGTGTCGGGCGTTGAGCGTCGGCCGAGAAAATACCTACAGAGATGCTGGAGGTCGTCGGGCGCGACTTGGAGGCGATGTCCAAGGGAGTGAGGACGGTGGTGTGGTCAATAATTCTCAAAACAAATTGAAATCAACAATCTGTATTGCATCAACGAATGCACGTGATCGCGCCTGCACTTTTTCAATCTGATGTTGAGCACTGGCACAATCAAGCCGCAACTGGGCGCAAGACTTCAATGTGTCAAGATAAGCATAATCTACCTTAAAATAGTCACTATTCGTCCGCTCCTTACTTCAAGCTCTTCTAGTCTTGGGTCAACCGCCGCCTCTTAGTTTCCAAATCACTCTCGTTCAAGTTGGTCGCCTTCGCGTCAGTTTCAGCAAGTTTCTCCCCATCTCAAAAACATCATCTCCACGGGACATCCGCAACATCGCACACTCCTGAGTGATCTTCTTCAACTCCTCTAAACTTTTTCTTACAATCTGGTCATCCTTGGTGTTTTCTCGCGCTTCCGACGTCAAGGTAGTACATTGCAGCATGGCGACTACCTGGTCGACGCGGAGTTGGAAGCGGACCATGTCGTATCGCTCGTCAGACTGGCTTTGGCGCACCTCTAACGATAGCCAAGCTAGTGAGCATAAACAATGGAAAAAATATTTACTGCGCTGACCTTTCAGCTCTTCTTTGAGAGCGGAGATCTCATCAGTGACTTTTTGAAAACCTTCGTTTTCCGTCCTGAGTTTCGTAAGCTCTGCTTCCCTCTGCTTGACCTCCGCAGACATTCTTTCTTCTGTCACCCGATTTTCCCTCCCTAGCATCCATTTCTCCTTCTCCGTTTCCCTCACATAGCGGCCATGCTCCACATGCATCTTATAGAGCTCGTTTCTGAGCTCCCCCTGCTTTATTGCCATGCGCGCTTTCTCCGCAAGCAGGTCCTGAATTTCCTTTTGATATCTTTCTTCAGCCCTCTCCTTTTCCCTCTTCGCATTTTCGCATTCTTCTCGGACGTTTGAAATTTCCTTCTTGCACCTGATATTTTCCAGCCGGAAATCCCGCGCTTGTTGCTCCAACGTCTTGACTTGGACGCGGAGTTCTACAGTCTTTTGGACCATCACTTTCATCTCTAAATCCTTCACCGCATCTGCATCATGGTCGGATTCAGTCTCCGGGTCTGGCTGAGGGGCGTTCTTGTGTTCATGTCGCTTCAATCCATTTGTGCCATAGTCCAGAAACAGGGCCCGGGCCATGCTCTCCGACAAATCGAGACGCTGCATAGCGTAGCCCACCAGAAATTCCGAGAGCCGAGAGCAATACCTGCGTGAACCTCGACAAGGCTCGCACTTAGCTGCAGAACTCATATCTGTCGTACAAGTAGCGCCAATAGCCGAGCAGCGTGAACAGCTCTAGTTAGGTGCACCAGACCCCGTGAGTGATCTTCAAAACCTGGATCCAAGATAGATAAACTCGCCTGAGGGTTTGCTCCGCTGAGCCAGAGCTGCTGAGCGTGCCGATCATACCTTCCCTTGTTCAGGCAGTTTTCAAAGTCTTTGACCAAATCGTCGGAATCCGAGCACGCATCGCTCTGTTGAGAAGAGTTTGAGTCCGACTCGGACTCGGGCTCACGGTTGCCACTCATAACGCGTTGCTGGCGAAGGATGAACCTATGACATTGCAGGGTATTACGTTGTTCATCCACGATAGGTTCTTCCGTTTTCATCATTTCGGTCGCAGTGGCTGGGGCCGCTTGAAAGACGAGAGCGCAGGTGAGTCTGGGAGACGATGTTGCGATTGACGACGCGGTACAGTATATGTGCTGAATAGATTTGCGTTTGAACGTAAATCGCATATAATGAAAAAAAGCTTAAATGGCAGCTTTCAAACTTGCTACATCCCGCTGACCCTTAGCGACGTAAGGTTTGCGGGACCGTAGAATGTGGTTACTCTGCACCGAACGCAATCCGCAGCCATTGCAAAGCTTCAAAAAAGAAAGGAAAAAGGAGGCAAAAAAAAACAGGACAGGAATGGGAGAGAGAACGCCAGTCGAGAGGGAGGGATCTGTATGTCGTACTACAGCCTTACACCATTAATTCCTTTCGTGATCATGATGAGAGGAACGATTGTTTCTATTAGACCGGATAACGAAGAACTGAAAAGCCTTGACATGAATTAATGACCTAGATATATACTAAAAAACATTTGACAGAGCAAGTAAGCATCGCGCGTTCAAGTTGAAATGTCAAGTACCTCATAACATTTTATTCTCGGCGTTGAGCCAAGCCTTTGGCAAATTGTACCGATAACTTCCATCGCGAAAGAGAACGAAGTAGTGTTCGTGGTTCCAAGGGCTCAAAACAATGTCCTGTCACGGTATGAAAGTCAGCGAGTTGAAACCCATGCCATCCCTTCTAAAGAATTGAAAAACAAACCACAGCATCGCTTCTTGACCTGAGAAGTTCGGCCAGGCCGGCTGGAACGTTATTCCACGCTAAGCAGTGCGTTCCGTTCCTCGTAAAAGTTATTGCCCAGCTATTCGCCTCTTTGCCGAGCGACAATGTTTTGACGTTCGCTCCCCCCACTTCGCCAAGTTTCTTACTGAGGGTCGCGTGCAGATCCCCCCAAACGGTGCGCCCGCCCCAAGGGGTACCGAAAGTAAAAGTACACGACACTATGTTATGTTACATGTTTAAGCCCTCTGGGAGACCTCCCCCCCTCTAGCACCTTCCAAATAAGGAAAGACACGTGATTATTCTGGCCTCCGCCGCTTCCTGCTGTGCCCCAAAGTCTGGCGTTCTTTCGACATTCCTCATCACAAAACCAATCCCCCGAAGGTCGTTCAAGGAGCCCATGACATGTAAGATGGTACTGATAAATAGAATCAGTGCCAGAGAGGTCAATCGGGTGCTGGCAACTTACAACAAAGTTGCACCCTGGTGAGTAACAGCGCAGAAGAAGTTCTCAGAAACAGCTCACTCACACCCAAAATCACTGCAGATCAGCTCGTCTTGCTCCAAGGCTCTAATCCGACGTTGTCTCCCCACTCTGGATGTTGATACTTTTGAAGATAAAGGTGTGTAATCACTGATCCCCAGGAGATGCTTGACTAAAACACAATCACCTTCAAGCTCTTGATTGTTCAACATATCGGCCTCCCCGGTACCTGGAATAACCTCTTCAGCACCCTCTTCGACAACCTCTTCATCAACCTCTGTCTCTTCTGGGAACTCCTGAGTCCTCATCAGAGACAACTTGATGTTGAAACTGGTAGATACAAGTCAAAAATGTATCATATCAGGCCTATTTATTTTAGATAAAGTTACGCGTTTAGAGGCCCCGCTGGACCCCCCTCCCCCCCAAGATGATGTCTTGGAATTTACCGGTCGGTACCCCTTGGCCCGCCCACGTACTGAGACCACCAGCTTCCACTACCGCCAGAAGCGTAGAGCTTGAGGTCTTTGGCTTGAAGCCCAGAGGCCAGTCCCTTGATGTCTGCGTAAAATTTCTGGTGAGACTTTGTAATCAGAGCGAAACTGCGTGGAGGACTCACGGACTCCGTCGGTAGCCCGCAGCACGTATTTTCCGTGAAGCCCACCATAGACGCCTTTCACCCCCGCGCACCCTACTCTGCGAAGGCCAGTCGCAAGGTCTACAGGCGCATGATCCCTGGGTTGATTGCGCTATCAATGAAGGATCAAGATGAAGTAACGTTTCAGCACACCAGCGAGATTTTGACCCATTGTTAATGTAGTAGCCTTCAGTCTCGTTACCTACGAAAGCAAAAATGATAGTCATGATGTGCGAACCTTTAATGAGATGGGGGATTTGAGGGTCTATTTGTTTTCTTGATGATTTTTATCAAGCGCCAATCGATGAATCGATTGAGCGCCTTTAAGGCCAGCCGATCTGATAGCACAAAACAATCTAGTCATGTTCGGCCACACCTCAGGTTGATCAGGTGCGTCAATTACTATTCGAGGAAACAGTTCATCAAGTTGCTTGATAACATGGGAGAGAAAGCCAACTCCGAGTCCGGGCTGGGCCAAGGCCAGTGCCGGATACGGAGTTCAGACCTTTTCCCAAGCTTGCGCGCAAGTGATCGTCGCATCAGCTCCGAGTCGCGTAGCAAAACTCGGATGCAAAAAATCGATGTAGTCTATATTTATTAGTCTCGACCTGCACAAAATAGAACAAGAAGATCAAGTTCAAAAGCAGACATATTCAAAAAATGGCAAAAGAGTGAGCGCAAGTCGGCATGAGCTGAAAAGTCCCCACTTAATCAGATTGTACCCTCAGACATGATGTGAATATACGGAATAAGATTTCCTGTAGATTGAACATCGGACGGATCAAAAGACTTGAGAGTCATAAAGGAATTAACAAAAATCAACATGATCTAGGAATGGAGTAACCTGGTTCAGAAGATAAACATAATACGTCGGAACATTGCACTCACATTTGTTGACAACTGATGGAAGCAATATCGTTACTGTCCTGACACGGCGAAAGAATCGGAAATAGCAATGACTCACAGCCATGCTTTCCGTAACGATTTCTGGCACTATATTTGGTACCATACTCTTTGAAAAAATAAAAGGTAGTGTAAGTCCTATCATAGCGCATAACGGTGGAAGATGGACCCTACCTTCAAAGTAACTGCCGTAGTCTGTTTCCCTTCCATCTGTGTACATGATCTCATCTTTTGTAAAGGACAGCCAACCAGGTCTCGGGGAAGCTGTAACCATGGACGATGGATCAATGGCTTTCAGAATAATTAACTCAACTTACTACAATTCCTTAATGCTTTGATCCGCTTTTCGGATCCCGGATAGACTGGGTCTCGAGGAGGAACTGGGTTTTGAGGAGGGACTGGGTTCCAAGAAGGGACTTGGACCGGCATCTCAATTTCCTCTCCCTTCGTTTGACTCTCTTGGGTCCGACAGATGATCGTAATGGGCTCATCAGCAACGTAACCCGGATAATTGTACGCCTGCGGATGAGAGATAGGATCGTTACCGTTCATCGGTACCTCACCATCTATATCTTTGAACAGTTGAATATTGTGGCCAATCAGTTCCTCAACCTTCATAACCCGGAACTTCAACAAAGCCACTGTTTGAGGCGGAGCAACCGACAGCATGCTGATGCGGCCCAAGGAAAGGTCCTCCGAGTCAAAAGAGGTCTTTGAGGCCACTGCACCCTCTTCGTCATAAAGGCGGTAGTGAACTGAACAAGATGCGTTATGTTCGCTCAAGTAACGATAATTTGATTGAACCCACCGTAACGTAGGTTGGCATGTCTAGTTTCAGGTAAACCCTCCAACGACACTGTCCTTGCTAATCGTTTTTCAACATCTTGCACCCCAACGACTAAGACGATAGGGTCGTCCTCAGATAAGCCCGGGCCAGTTGACCCCCTGAGCGACAATCGCGACGTTTCTTCAACTGCAGTCTGGCTTGAGAGCGATTCGAATAATGTGGTGCCTGTGGCCCCCGATAAGCCCTCGATCTTGCACAGATGCTTCTTCACGGACGAGGCAGTAAGTGGGGGTGTGATGAGCCTTGGAAGAGTGCGGCTGATGTATAGATCATTGGCGTAGATTGGATGGTTTGACGTGATTGATCCATATTTCGTGTGGAGCCGGTAGTATACTGAGTACGCCTTCGTTTGAGTGGATAGAGAGCTTTATGAAAGATAGCGCACCATAACGAGGGCCATGATCATTACCGTCGAGGGTTACCTGTGAAATTCATGACCAATAAGCATCTTTGATACTTGAATGTACTTAGTGATGTGCACATACAGGCTCTCCTCGACCGTCCGACGAGTCTTTACCAGAACCAGAGCGAAGCGCAGATGAAGCAGAAGACATAGCCGGTAGTTTTATCCGAGTTCCAATATCGTAGACGAAAGAGCTTTCGGTTGAGGTCTTGATGGAGTGCCTGCCAGTTATGTTGGTTCCGCACTGTTCCACGGTGATAGCAGCAAAAGCGCTCGGGCTGTCTATTCGAGGAATCGTGAGAAACGTATTGTGGTCAGGGGGAGTCCAAGGTTCCGCGCTAAGCGCCTACTTCCGAAGAGTAAGTGGGATGGTTAGTATTGACACTCATCTGTGAAGATGAAGCCATAAGGAACCTATTTTCGAAGAAAATGCGAAGGTACAGCTTGGGTACAGCCTGAGGCACACTATATGAGTCGATGACACGTCTTCAAAAATTGCGAAGCCTGTTTACAATTCCCCACCGTCACCAAAACACTCATGTTGATAGAGATGAGAAGTTCAAGCATGTGAGGAAAGAGGAGAAGATTTGCCAGTTATAGTGAGTTTTTGTCGAATCACGATGGTGGTAGGTGGTTGGCTCCAAACCCAAGCAAACTCAAGCATTCACACTACTACATGCTGACAGGCTGGCCAGCAGGTATCTTGGAACAAGGCATCACTTTTTCGAAATGCTAATTAAATGCAAGCTTTCCAAAGGTAATGCAACGGGTTGTAGTTAACGTTGTCCCAAGTCATTCAACGGTACAGACATAGGTATGGGCTTTGTCGGATCCGGAAGAGCCAAACGCCGCACATGATGCATGAGTGGTGATACGAAACTAATCCTCGTCCATATAACAATAAGATTACTTATCTGGGCAAGACACAGCGATACCATGCAAGCGGAAACATGCCCACCCTGGCACAAGTCGCCAACGTGCTCAGACTCCGGGTACGCTTCCCCACTTTTGAACTCAGATCCCCCATCGTACCCGGAAAACAAGCCCGCAAGGCCAACGAGCATCTTGCCCAGGGGTGAATGGACGGCAAAGTAGAACTCGCGCTTGAGGTACGGTGAGTCGAATTTACCAAAGTGGGCTTCGTCCCATACGACGATGTTACTAGATGCGCCGACTTTGTGGAAACATCCAGCAGGAGAGGAGGGTGGGTATTACGGGAGGGATGTGTTCGAGGTTTTGGTAGAGGAATTAGCGCTGTGTGGTAGGTAAGTAGGTTGGTTGGTTGGTTGGTTGAAGGTTGGTACTAGCTGGGCACTTACGATCAACTTACGATGGTTGCTGTTGCGGTTTCAATCATATGGATCAAAGCCGCGAGCGCTGCCCCCCGTCGCCCCTGTTTAGACCCTCCGCCTGGCCTCGCCCTCAGACGTTGTATAGGGCGGTCGCTGTTGCTGTTCCAGAGCTACCAACCAATGGTGCGTCGTCGGGTAAGAAACGCCTTCAAACTCGAATGAATAGTCTCAACGTGGCACGTTATAGTCAGGATCATATGCAAATCAGATGTGCCAAAATCAACAGCTACGGCGGAAGGTTTCATGAATTAGGGTGTTCCCATAGTACAATGACGGGCAAAAAGTTAGAAGGGCGGGAGTGAGGGAATTACCGCAAGCAACGTTGAAGAAGTTAATGGCGACTAGAGAGGTAATCGATGAGAGGAAAAGGTTGATGAATGAAGGGCCTACTGAGCACGATATCATAGTCAGTGAGCTACGCTATTAGCAATGAGTTGATTATTGGTTAATTATCCTTTACTTCTACCTCAATTTTACCTATTACATTTCACAGATCCCAGGCTTCAAGTTTATAGATGATTATAATGGGCTCATCAGCGACGCAGCCCGGATGGTTGTACGCCTGCGGATGACAGACAGGGTCATTACCGTTCATCGGCACCTCACCGTCTATATCTCTGAACAGCTGAATGTTCGAGTTGCAGTCCAACATTAACAAGCCTTCAGCCTGCATAACCCGGGACTCCAAGCGAGCCACTGTTCGAGGTGGAGCAACCGAAAGGATGTTGATGCGACCCAAGGAAAACTCCTCCGAATCAAAAGAAGTCTCTGAAGCCACTGCACCCTCTTCGTCATAAAGGCGGTAGTAAACTGGACAAGATGCATTAAGTATGTTCATTCAAGTAACGAGATTTCAATTGAACCCACCGTAACGTGGATTTGCATGTCTAGCTTCAGTTACACCCTCCAACGAAACTAACCTTCTTGATAGATTTTCATCGTCCCCCCAAACGATCAAGACGATAGGGTCGTCCTCAGATAAGCCAGGGCCAGTTGACCCTCTGAGCGACAATCGCGACGTTTCCTCAAATGCAGTCTGGCTTGAAAGTGATTCGAATAGGGTGCTTATGCCCGATAAGCCTTCGATCTTGCACAGATGCTTTTTCACGGACGAGACGGTATGTGGGGGTGTGATCAGCTTTGGAAGAGTGCGGCCGATGCTTGGGTCAGTTGCATGGATCGGGTTGTTTGACGAGATTGATCCAAAATTCGTGTAGAGCCGGTAGTATACTGAGGACACCTTCGGATGAGTAGATAGAGAGCTTCATGGAAGATAACGCACCAAAACGAGGGCTATTATCGTCCGGGGTTACCTGTGAAAGTTAGTAACACCCTTGATTCGGCGCAGTGATCTGCACATACAGGCTCTCCTCCAAGTCCTCGGCCGTCTGATGAGTCTTTACCAGGACCGGAGTGCGGTGTAGATGAAGCTGAAGACATAACCAATAATGTTTTCGGAATTCAGATAAGATCGTATACGAAGGGTTGAAGGCTGAGGTGGCGTGTCCGCTGGTAGCGCATTGGTTCTACTACTTAGCGCTCAAGGCTATCCATCCAAATCGTGAGAAAAGTATCGTGGTCCAGTGCTCAACCTCCGTAAAACGGTTCGTGAGCCCTTGGACATGCTGGTGAGTCCTTGATGGAGTTGAGGTTGAGAATTGGCACGATCAAATCACGATCGTGATTAGTAGAAAAGCGGAACGATCGTTTGGCCACCTGTATCCAGACGACTTTGCGCTACATTTGCAAGGACTCGACGGCCTTGTCCCAAGTCGCGGTGAGTTCAACTGTAGCACGAATATTGGTGGGCCGAACCCTGAAACAAAGAGTGGCGGTAAGATCGTCCATCAACCAAGCAATAAGATTATTCGGCCAAGACACAGCGAACGACTAGTTATCCCACTCTATATCGTCTATCACTCAATCAATCGTTATAGATATTCCACGACTAGAAGAAAACACCCAAAAAAGTCAGCACCAATATAAAAAAGGGAGGAAAGGAAACGTACACTTCGCCACTGCAATCCCTTGGTTTCCGCAATAGGCCCATCAATACCAAACGCCACGCCCTTGAACCACCAAAACGAGAAAAGCAACAGGAAAGCAAACACGCCAAAGAAGATGTTCTTGACTTTTGTAGTGAGGAGCTTGGATGAGAAGATGAAGTGGTCGAGCACGTGGGCGAGCATTAGGACTGCGAAGTACTACTGTAGAGGGTTGGGAGCTGGAGGGAGGAAGGAGGGTCAGGTACGCGTTGGTGTGTGGGAGGAGAGGAGGAGTTATACATACATAGTGGTGCAGACAGGTGACGCGACCCATGATGAGGAAAGGCACTACACAAGACATCAGCAGCTGCAGCGTGAAAAGGAAAACGACAAACCATAATGGAACGCCCAACCAAAGAAAGCAATCTTCCCAACGTACAAGAAATGATCCCATTCATCTACACCCACCACCAAATCAGCTCTCTTTCCATCTGCAAAACAAAAGAAAAAAACAACTCACGAGCATCCATATCATGATACTTCCTCTGCCACCTCAACAAATAAAGACCCAACGCGGCCAGTCCCACAAACAAGCTGATCGAGCTCGCCCACCATATAATAGGCGTGCCCATGAGGTAATACTTGAGCTGCGTGTCGCCCCAGCCACACATCCTCAGGCCAAGATGTAAGAAGGGCCAGTCAAATGGCTTTGACGCCAATATGTCCTCCTTATCCGGGTCTGGGATGAGCGCGTTGTTGGACGTCATCATCGCGACGTTGAGGTGCCAAAAGTCGCGAAGGAAGGGGGAGCGGTAGAATTTGGTGTCGCCTGCCGGTACTACATCACAAAACCCATTAGCCAATTCAAGAAAGCAGGCTGAAGAAGGAAGGGGGGACATACACCGATCATTCCAATGACTCTCCACATTCCAATACGTATGCACGTCCTTGACGTTATTCTCCTTATCACAACTAACATCCACCTGCTTGAACCCCCACTGCGGCAAAATCGCATTCGCAGCGCGCAAATAACACCCCAACGCCTGATGCCTGAACCTCAAGCGTGTCGTCAAAGAGTGTATCCTCTCCACACTCCCCTTCGTTCCTTGCTTGATATCATCCACAACCTCCACCTGCCAATAATCATGATTATCACCAATGGTTTCGTTCCCGTAACACGACACTTCGTAGTTCAGCTTCGTTACGGGTGCAAGGACCGTGTGGGAGTGGAGATTCCGCGTGGTGGCGGCGTGGTTTAGGCGGATGACGTCCCCGTCTTTGAGGAACCGGATGGGGTCGTTGGGGTTGTAAGGTGCTTCGTCCCAGCGGGGAAGAACGACAAAGTCGTTGTTGGCGTCCTTGTAGTGGTAGCAGATTATTTGTTGTTGGGTGAACCCCACCGTAAGGATTGGACGTGAGAGTGGAGGCCGCCGCCGCCCCAGCCCATGTTTTTGAGGGTTAGTTTTGAGCCGTAGGCGATTTCTACACAGCAGCGTTAGTGAGGGCGATGGTTTGGAAGGAAGGGCAAGAGACACGAACCAAGTGGGTTTTTGGCAAAGTCGTTTCCGACGAGGTTGGCTTGGAAGGCGAGCTCATCTGCGCGTCACCTGGCCCTGAATGGTTCAAGACTATGAAATGGATTTTGAAGGAAGCCATGAAGACGAGGATGGGGACGACGATGAGGCAAGTTATACGTGCACCCCTATGTTTTAGTTGGTCTCGCTACGAAAGAACTATCAGTTTGCCTGCTCCCCCCAAATACTACGAAAGGGGGCGTACCACTGGCATCTTGGTGTCTCCAAACTATCCCCACAGATCTTCGATCGTGTAGACACCCACGAGATCCGTGACGAATAGACCAATCATTTTGACGCTGGCATACGGTTAGAATTGATCTTCCAGTGGTTGGGTTGCACATACCTGGTTACGCAGCCGATGGAAAAGCCGGTAGCTCTGCACAGTGCATCGTCTCGATCAGCTTTAGCCTCCGCGAGCAGGGCTTGAAGTTCAATTATTTTTTATTTGTGCCTCCTGGAGCTCAGAGCTTGGCGGAGGTGGTGTACTGGGAGGTTCTGATAGCGTCTCATCCTCCTCCTGTTAGATAAATTCAGACCATTCAACTCCGGTTGGCCGATATGAAAGAATGGTCTTTTGCTTACCTCGTCTGGTTCGTCAGCTTGAGGAGGCGTTTTATACAGAATTGGGGAGAAGATACGAACATCTGGTCTTTCTCTTGATACATCGTTGACACCTATAGGCGTATACGCCTTTTGGCATGATGCATTGAACCTTCTCAGCAGCACATCGTCCACAAGGTCCCTGCAGCATTCGGTGAGCGCCAACGATCCAAATTGCATTTATCATACTTACCTTTGCCAACTCAGTCTTGAACCACTGTTGTTTGGCCTCCTTCAAATCTTCCCACTCCTTTGCTTCTGGGACCGGCGGCGTCTGCGACAAGTGAAAGGCGCTTCGTCCATCATTTGTCCAACTATAATCTACCTAGAAGACTTACTTCATTCGCTGCTCCGGCGTCGGGTTTCCCACCTTCGGGATCTGTCTTCCGCGATGCTGACCTCAGATGGGGAAGAATATAGGAACACGATTGCTTTTTTGAAGAGCATCGTTCACATGCGTAGGCATCCCCAGGGACGCATTCGATACTCTCCGTACCACATCTCTGACACGGGCCCTACAATAGCTGATGAGCGCCCCTCTGTAAAAACAGGTACAAGAGTGTAGAGAAGCTTACCTCGGCTTTTTTTTTTTCAGAAACCACTGCAGCCTTGGGTCTGTGGCACCTTCAGAACCTCCTTCTTCCCTTGGGCCTTGTGTGGCGGCTCTTACCATGGGAGTCCTATCCCTCAAAACCATTGAAGATCTTGAGGACCTTGGGGTTGGAGTCGCAATAGTTTGTGGATTTCCTTCGGGGGGCGCACTCATTGAGGTAGGATCGTTTCTAGGCCTTCCAGCTCTCTTCTTTACGGGCGCCGAGACGCTCGTAGCAGGAAGCTCACTGCCCGACGTCGGCGGCAGCTGAGATGTGGGCTCTTCGTCAACAGCAGTCCCTGAGATAGAACTTGCTCTACGCCTTTGGCTCTGGGGCATCGTGTTGAATGTGTAAAAGGTCGTCAGGCGTTCAGCGTCGTCGGATGAGAGGATACCTGGCTGGAGGTCGTTGTCCGCGACTTATAGACTATGTCTAAAGGAGGTACTGACAGTGAGATGGGAAGGACGGTGGTGGTCAATGATTCTCAGATCAATTTGAAATCAACACCGACATGCCATCAACAAATGCACGTGATCGCGTATGTCAACTTCAATGCATACAGCTAACGAGGTATCGGGACCGTCTGACCCCCCGAAGAGTCGGCTACTAGCGTAGCCTGGGAACGATCACCGCATCATTCGGCAAAACCCGTCAGCTCATCAGAGATTCCGCCAAGAGGACTCAGATCCACTGATGCTGGACGTCCGATCTGTCACGTGCCACTGACAGCGGCTATTTCCGAGCTTCGGAAACGCAAGTCGACGCTTGGTCGACACCGACCTCAGTCCCATGCTCGACCACTATTTTATTACATCTAGTAGCGGAATACGATTTAATTCAATAGAACATGCTTGTTATTGAATGGGAGGAATAAATGTATCTGTTGTGCTTTGGCAATGTGACTGGCATTGGGCTCAGACTGGTCTTGGTGAAGTGTAACTGGACTCGAGGCTAGAGGTTTCTCAAGACAAATAAAAGTATTAACTCAATTGAATTACTATCTTTATTCATGTAGCAATGTTCGAGGCCATAAAGTATATGTTGGGAGGTGCCTGGTATGGTTGGAGAAGATTGGGCCTGTTTTCTCTTCTTTTTCAGCTGGAACTGGCAAATGGTATCATACTGTGCTATATCAAGTTATTATACAAGAGTTTGGTACACCAGCGGAGACCTCAGAATGTAAGTGATGTGGAAGGCAAAGGAGGACACACTTCGGAGAAGCTTCTAGCCGGGTAGCTGGTGGTGGCTGTACCTCCCCCCCCCCACCCGTGGGACTCAACGTACTGGATCGGTGGATCTGAGTCCTCTTGGACTCCGCTCTACACAAGTCTACACAACAACTTACGTAGATTTTTTGTCGCGACAACCTACATCTCAAAAAAAAATGCCATGAATTTCGAAAACAGGGATACTTTCAAATTTCAAACGACTGTTGTGAAAGATACCTCAGTTTTTTCTATAAATGACACGGAGTGACGGAATCAACACCACCAAACAGTTACCAAATAGAGTGTTAGAACTTAGCGCTGTATACGCTTTATGATACGCATTTTGTGGCGACGGTAACGGATTTCACGAGGAATAACTTTACATTGTTCTAATACAAATGGATAGTGAAAGGTATAAAGAAGAACTTACAAAGTCAAGCTAAGCATCAACCAATCAACAACCAATAACCACAAAACTAGCAAGTAACAAGTCCAGCACCCAACTTAAGCA